TCTCACTTTTTCTTAATGCTGTATTATCACTTGGGAAGCTTGACTCTTAAATACTCCATAGTGATTTGCTTTTGCAGACTTGAAGGGTAGAAATAAGTGGAAGTAGGACATCGTAATTAAGAAAATCATTATGCTTTTAAAAAACTGTGATTAATAAAGCTGTGTCTACTTATTAACATGCCACTTAGGCTGTTGAGTGAGTGTGGGTAAATGAGACATAGTACTGAAACAGATTAGAACCGTTCCATAGAGTGAGTCTGTTTTTCCTAAAGATAAATTGAAGTGTAAAACCCATTTTAAAGAAAGAGTCCTGTTTTTGTGATCTCAATGTTTTTCTGAATCCATTGGCTTTCAGAGTATTGTCATCAGACCAGCAACCTGGATATATGTACAAATTACCTGTCTATCTTAAGACCTTTAGATGGTTCTGATATGGCAGTTGAGAACCATAGTTACATAGCAACAATTAGCTTGCCTTGCTGGTTGTTTGGAGTGATGCTATATAAGCCTGAACTTTATATTGCAAATTATCAAATCCAATTTAAAGTAACCTGGAAAAAAAAGAGTTATATAGGAGACTCCCTTGGGTGTATTGGGGAGTTATTGGGGGTGTCTCACTGATTCAGTGCAACAGTTGTAAAGAATAAGAGACCTTGTGGTAAGAAATACTTGAGTCTGTGTTACTTTGCCTTATAGGCTAGATACATCCTTTTTAGAACTAGGTAAAATAGTCAAAGGTTCAGCCCCAGTTCATATGTGAGTTAAGCAACCACATGAAGACCTGCTTTCTCCCATTCACAGGCCCATTCCTTCATTTTCTCACTATTTATAACATAGACTGGATTTAAATTGCTGATTCTTTTGCCTCAGCCTCCTAAATGCTGACTGGATTACAAATGTACAAATTTGAATTTTTCTTGTTGTTAAGCATAGTTTCTCCTTTTGAATTTCTAATTTATCAATTTACATTAGCATCTTTTTATTCTGGACTTCTTAGTAGAATTATTTTTTAAAAGTTTCATTTAAAAATTTCATTTATTGTAGTTTATGTATCTGTATGTGCCATGGTGCTCCTGTGGAGGTCAGAAGCCAATTTGGAGTCTCTTCTTTTTCTACCCATGGGTACTGAGGAGTGAACTCAGGCTGGTGACAGCCTCTACCCTCTAGGCTACTTCAATGGCCCCATACAAACATTTATTTTTATACCATCTGGATTTTGATAGGCTGTTTTCTCTCTCCTTTCTCCCCTTCCCCCGGCCATGTGTGTGTCCCTGCAAGTGTGTGTACGCAGGCAAGAGGATATGAAGGTCAAAGGATAGTTCAGCTGTCAGTTTTCACCTTCTGCCTTGGCTTGTAACCTAACTTCTGTTGTTTGCTGTTGTGTGCACAGGTTAGCTACCCTGTAAGCTTCTTGGGAGTCTCCTTTCTTTGTACTCTATTTTGCCATAGGAGCACTGGGATTACACATGCCAGATTGGGTACAAACTCAGGTCATGTTGAATTGTTTCCCCAGGTTTGTTTAAAAAAGTTTTGTGTGTGTGTGTGTGTGTGTATGCAGGTACCTGTGGAGACTTGAGAAGTCAGATTCTCTAGAACTGGAGTTACAGGTGGTTGTGAGGTACCCAGTGTGGATGCTGGAAACTGAATTTAGACTCTCTGTAAGAGCAGTACATCCTCTCAAACTCCTGACCTATCCATCCAGCCCCTTATTTTTGAGACAGGATATTGTAGACAAGGATGGCCTTGAACTCACAGAGCTCTCCACCTACCCCCTGCCTCCTGTGTTCTAGGATTTAAATGTGCACCACCATACCTAGTACCTTTTTATTTTTTAATTAATTTATGGGGAGGTGGGCTTGTATTGTGATTTGTGTGTGGAGGCTAGAGGGCAACAGGAGTCAGCTCCTTCAACCATGTGAGATCTGAGGATCATTGGTTTGTTGGCAAGTGCCTTACCAGCTGAGCCATCTTACTCTGGCACCTAGTTTCTTATTTTTAAGCCTATAAGTCCCTGGTTTTCAGAAAGCTTATAATTCGTTTTGTTACACTGTTTTGGCTATAGCTATTTGGTCTTTGTAAAATTTATTTTGAAGGAGCAGGACATTTATTCTTCATATTACTAGTGCTTTGAGATTTTATATAGGCTCTAAAGTTATTAAAAGTATAGTTTTTCAGGACTGGAGTGATGGCTCAGGGCTTCAGAGCACTGTCTTCTTCCAGAGGCACTGGGGTTTGAGTCCCAGCTGTAAATTCTAGTTTCAGGTGATCTGATGACCTCTTTTGGCCTCTGCAGAAGACCTGTATACAAATAAGAGGGGTAGGGAATAGAGAGATGGCTCAGCAAATTATGGCATTTTGATACTCTTGCAGGAACTAGGGTTTGATTCCCAGCATCCATATGGTGCCTCAAAACCATCCATAAGTCCTGTTTTAAGGACTCCCAACATCCTCTTCTGGCCTCTAAGGACACCGTGTGTACATGTGGTACACACACACACACACACACACACACACACACTCATACGTTTAAATCTAAAACAGTATTTTTTTAAATGGAAAAGTTTTTAAAAAATAGTTACTGGAAGAAAAATGCCATTTTAAAGCTGCTTTTTAGTTGTTTCTGTAAACTAATGGTTCTTGATTTATTGTGAGGTTTAAAGACAATGTCAAGTAACAAAGAGTCTTTAATGACAAAATATCTTATTAATGAAAAAGATCTTATCTGACATCTAAACTTTATCCTAAGAGTTAAAAATTCACACAATACTTGTGATTAGCCTTCTGTTAATATAATCAAAGCATGGGTAATTTTCTTCTGGAAATAGCAGTTACTCATTAAGAAGACTATGGCAGAAATTTGATTAAACACTGAGAAAATTCTAGACTCTTCAGACAGCCTGGTGTTTTGAAAAAGCCTTGTGTGTTGGCAGGAGCCCAAGAGAGGAAGTGGCTGCATCTGTTACATTCTAGAAGCTTTCCCCAGATCACTCTAAGGCAGCCAAGAAAACTGTATTTCACCACTGTGTGGTTCTGGAAGTATCTGGAAATTTGTAGCAAACTTGAGGGAGGAGATACAGGAATTCCTCCAAAATGCCATTTTATTGTGATGATCTATTTTTAATTGAGATACAACTTAAGGATGAAGTTACCTTTCAGCTTTTATGAAATAGGGGGCTTTCAATTAGGCCTCTGAAAAGCCTGTTGGTTTAGGCAAACTCACATGGGAAAGATCAGAGAAATGCCTACAAGAACAAGTTGCCAAGTCAGCCTAAGTGATGGGAACCTGCTTCTAAAGCAAGTAGTACTGTGATGGTAATGTGCTGGACTGTAAAGCAGTGAGAAAGCCGGTGCTTTTGGTAGGGGAGGAGGAAGAGTGCTAACTAGGGCAGTTGGTGCAAGGCAGAACCTTTCAGTGGTTACTTAATACCCTCTATCATGAGTAGTCCTCACTAGAGAAGACTGTTTGCTCTCAGGGACAGTGGAAAAAGACAGGGGTGGCGAGAGACTCTGTGTTTAAAGGACTGTGAAGACCAGAGTTCAGACCCCCAGAATGCAGGTAGTATGCCAATTAGGTGTGACAGTCTGCCAGTGATTCCAACTCTAGATGGCAAAGACCTGATCCCTAGAGCAAGCTGGCTACAGGGACTAGCCTTATGAGTGAGTGAGCTTTGGGTTTGGTTAAAAGAGCCTGCCTCAATGAATAATAGAGAGAAGGGTGGTTGGGGAGATGAAAGGCATCAACTTCAGGCTACCCATGCACATACATGTGCATCACATACAAAAGAATGAAAACAAGGACTTGGCTACAAGGTTGAAATTAGGGGAAAATTGCAGCTGTGTACTAGGCATGGGTGTTTTTGTTTTGTCTTGTTTTTTTTTTTTTAACATAGAACACAGTAGGAAGAGAAGTTAGCCCTTCCTAACAACAAAAACAAAACAAATAATAACAGCAAAACCTCCTTTCTCCAAGCTAACCCTCAAAACTATGTCTTTAAGAGAAATTGCTAGCTTAAATGTATAGGGATGATAGTCTCCAAACTTAAAACAATAGCATTGTGGTTGAGGGGGGAAGCTCAGTTGATACAGTACTTATCATGCTCTGGGTTCCATCTCTAGCACCATATCAACAGGGCATGGTGGTACATACCTGTAATCCCAGTTATTGGGAAGTTCTAGATCATCCTTGGCTACATAGTAAGTTCAAGGCCAGCCTGGATACATGAGACTCTGTCTCAAACAAACAAAAAATAACATAGCTTCATCCATTTTTAATTAACATACCATACAATTCTGTCTCTTTCATCATTCATACTCAGCACTTTCAGAGTTAGGAAATAGTCACCTCCATTTTAGAACATGTTTTATCACCTCCAAATCCACAACTTTGAACTTAAAGTGTAGAACCATACTTGGAAGCCTGGCAGTGGTGACACACACCTTTAATCCCAGTACTCAGGAGGCAGAGACAGGCAGATCTCTGTGAGTTCGAAAACAACTTAGTCTATGGAGTAACACATTAGTCATGTTTAAAGTATGTTTTTGTGGGAAATTCATGTTTTAAATCTAGATCAAAGGGAAAACTATTTTTCATACTATATAAAAAGCCACAGCTGGAACTGGAGAGGTAACTCAGCTGTTAAGAACATTTTCTGCTCTTCCAGAGGACCCAGGTTCTATTCCCAGCACCCATATCTGGTGGCTCACAACAGCCTGTAACTTCAGCTCTTGGGAATCTGATGCCTCTGGCCTGCAAGGACACCCATACTTGTGTTCATAACTATACAGTATACACATACAATTAAGGATAATAAATCTTTAAAAAATGCCACAACTGTTTAGTTGCTCTACTTGTAATAGTAACAGGAAAACAAGTGGGTTGAAGTTTTACTCTAATAAGGAATATCTAACTGTTAAAATCATAAATTAGCTGTTTTTAAGTTGATTTATAAAAGTCAGCATCAGTTCTAGTCTGGAGGCTAACAGCCATGTTGTTCTTGTAGGTGTGTGAACTGAGAAGTCTTCCAAGATGATCTGGTGTGTTTTAATGATAGGGATTCTACTTTCTCAGTCTTCAGCCCATCCAGGCTTTTTTACTTCAATTGGTAAGTCTTTACCATTTATAACTGTGTCTTACATTTTAAATTTTAAATGCTCTTGTAGTTTTAAATTAGTAAAACAAATGTGCTAATTCCTGAAGACTAACCTTGGTTTACCCCTTAACTATCTAAACAGACAGTTATAAAAAAAAAGAATCAAGCCAGGCGTTGGTGGCGCATGCCTTTAGTCCCAGCACTCGGGAGGCTGAGGCAGGCAGATCTCTGTGAGTTTGAGGCCAACCTGGTCTACAGAGTGAGTTCCAGGACAGCCTCCAAAACAAAACAGAGAAACACTGTCTTGAAAAAAACAAAGAAACAAAAAAATCAGTTATGTTTGTCTGCTTTCCTTTCTTCTCCTTAAAAAAAAAAAAAGTTTATTGAGTACACTATAAGAGTCAGTGCCTGGCAGCAACTATAGTACTATCTGACTTGGTTTCCTGTAAATTAATTTTTCCTGATTACAAAAGTGCTATGTTTTATGCTTAGAAACTTGGGAAAATTTAGAAAAAGCATACCAAAGAGTTATTGATAGTTGGGTGTGACAGTGCATGACTTTAATACCAGGACTGGAGGAAAAGGCTGGTGGATCTCTATGAGTTTGAAGCTGAGCCTGGTCTGCATAACTGAGATTCAGACTAGCCATGGCTACATAGTGAGACCCTGTTTTAAAAAAGAAAGTGATAATCTCCACATGTAATTAATGCAGATACAATTTTAATGCACAGATACACAATAATCCTGCACATTTCTTTCTCTGTCTCCCTCATTTTCTCTCTCCTTTCTGGATTTTTTTTTTTTTTTTGGTTTTTCGAGACAGGGTTTCTCTGTATTGTTTTGGAGATTGTCCTAGAACTTGCTCTGTAGACAAAGCTGGCCTCGATCTCACAGAGATCCACCTGCCTCTGCCTCCCGAGTGCTGGGATTAAAGGCATGTGCCACCAATGCCCGGCTCCTTTCTGGATTTTTAAGACAGGGTTTCTATGTGTAGTCTTGGCTGTCCTGGAACACACACACTGTATGTCAAGCTGGCTTTGAACTCACAGAGATCTGTTTGCTTCTGCCTCCTGAGAGCTGGGACTAATGGTATATGCCACCACCCCTGGCCTGCACATTACTTTCTAACCTGCTTTTACTTCACTGTAACATGTAATTTTTTTCCACATCATAATTTTAAAAAATATTATAAAAATTGTGCTAAAGATGGGCAGTGGTGGTACACTCCTTTAATCCCAGCATTCAGGCGGCGGAAGCAGGTGGTTCTCTGAGTTCAAAGCCAGTATGGTCTACACCAATCGAGTTCCAGGACTGCCAGAACTATACAGAGAAACCCTGTTTCAAGCAAACAAAATATGTGGTTTAAAGCGGGGTTTGTGTGGGGGGTGGGACTAAGCAAGTGCATAGACTAAGATCTCCAGTGCTTCCTTGTTCTTAGAATAGGCCTTAAAGTTTGAGCTATGGCTTTCTGTAATTTCCTCTCTGTATACTGCATATATATAATGAAGTGTTAAGATGGTTCCCTTCATTCTATAACCATTTTGAACCTTTTAAAATTGTAGAACTAACACAGAAGTATAAATATTTCTAACCTGTGATTTCCGTATGTAAAATAATGAGCCTTCTTACTCTTTAAAAATAAAAAATTTAAAACATTTTTGCAACTTTTTAAAGTATTTTGATAAAAAATTTGATCCTGACTAATCTTGAACACAAAAGGTGAGGTATAAGAGCAGAGGCAGTAAAGAACAAACAGCAATTCTTGGAAAGTAGTGCCATTTGTAAATGAAAACACCATTTCCCAACGTAGTCTAAGCTTGCAAAATTATTAGTTATAGAAACTAGAACTGGATCTCATGATTAGCATTTTATTTGGATTAATTTTGGTTTATCTGGTTAAAAAAAGAGGAAGATGATCATTTACAATATATCTGTTCCATTCCAATTAAATCCTCCTGTAGTTAAAAGATTCATACTGATGGATATTTAATAACCTTTCTCTTCCCGTGTAGGTCAGATGACTGATTTGATCCATACTGAGAAAGATCTGGTGACATCACTCAAAGATTATATTAAAGCAGAAGAAGACAAGTTAGAACAAATAAAACAGTAAGTGTGTTTTCCTCCTATAGCTCCCGTTCTCCTCTGCACTAAAGCATCAAGTGGAAACGAAAGTCAGTTAAAATGTCTAAAGCAATGAGCACAGGGTCTTGTTCATGTGTGTCAGCTATGTGTACATGTTTATTTTTGCAGGTGCAAGTGCACATGTGTGTACAGGCCAAGGGTTGACAGTTGATGCCTTTTTCTGTTGCTGTCTTATTTTTTGAGACAGGGTGTCTTAACCTGGCAAGGCTAATTAGCCAGTAAGTTTCAGGGATCTTCCCATGTCCACCTCTCCAGCACTAGAATTAAAGGCAGGCACCGCTGTTGGCAGTATCGAGCAGAGATAGAGAATGGAGAGATAGCGGGCTTCCTTATTCCCTGGCCTTTGTAAGTGCTGCCTGCATTCAGTTAATCATCTCTGAAAACACCTGACAGGTACACCTAAAGCTACTATTTAAGAGTTACTTCTCAATCTAATGATGCCTACAGTCAAGATTAACCATCACAGTGTAGAAGAAAAGTCATGCCAGTATCTTCCATAATCTCCCAAATAAGCCACCTGCTGGCTTTCCTGGTTTTCCAGTTTCACTCATAGGATTCCATTGTAGAGCTTACAGTGATAAGCATGATTAATGCTATCTAATATAAAAACCATGTGGTTTTCCTTGAGTGCTAATTTTATTGACTCAGTTTTATAGTTAATCCTAAATTGAGAATTTGTGCTTTGTTTAATGAATGTCTTAGTATTGATGTTTTTGATTTTTGTATGCATTTTGAGACAGTCTTACTGTGTAGCACTGGCTGGCCTGAAACTCAGTAAGATTGACCTGCTTCTGCCTGTTGAATAGTGCACCTGGTTGATGTTTCTCCCCCACCCCCCTTATCCCCCCACAACCCCCCACCCCCCACAGGGTTTCTCTGTGGCTTTGGAGGCTGTCCTGAAACTAACTCACAGAGGTCCACCTGCCTCTGCCTCCCGAGTGTTGGGACTAAAGGCATGCACCACCACCCAGCTGATGTTTCTGCTTTAAAACTTATTTTCTACACAGAGTTTAAAGATTTGCTATAAGTTAACCTAACATGGTTGCACACACATGTAATTCTAGCACTTGGGAGGTAGAGTCAGGAGGATCACAGTGAAGATCAATCTAGACTGCATAATACAGTAAGACCTTATCTCAAAGAGTAAAACAAAGCAATAATAATAACAATTAGCATCAATTAGACTGGACTCAATGGCATGCACCAGTATACTCCAGGAAATAAAGCGGGAATATCTCTTGAGTCCAGAAATTCAAGGATAGCCTGAGTGGCAACATAGTGAGATCCAGTATTTTTTAAAAGAAAAAAACAAAAAACATGTGTATAGGGCTAGAAAGATGACTCAGGAGTTAAGTGCATTGACTGCTCTCTCAGAGGATCCAGGTTCAATTCCCAGCATCTACATGGTAGTGCACAACTGTCTGTAACTCTAGTTCCAGATCTGATATCTTCTTCTGGCCTCCTCAGGCACCAGGCATGCATGTGGTAAACATACCTTCATGCAGGCAAAACACTCCTACCCAAGGAAAAAAAAAGAAAATAGAATTTGTTTTTAGAGTCTAAGTTGTTTTAAATTCATACTTAACAGAATTTAGGCAGGCCACTTTATTTTTATTATAATAGTAATTTTAGCCTTTTAGGACTTACAGGGAAATGAAAGTTTTGAGTGATTAAATTTTAGCTTTGAGCTAGGTACACGCCTTTATCCCAGCACTTGGGAGGCAGAGGCAGGCAGATCTCTGTGAGTTCAAGGCTGGGCTGGACCGACAGCGTCGAAAACAATACAGAGAAACCCTGTCTTGTAAAAACCAAAAAAAAAAAAAAAATTAGCTTTGACTAAGATGATATTCCATTTGGGATAATAATATAAAACAGAAAAGTTGTATAGTTGTAGTTTTGATACTCTTAAGTTAGATTTTTATTATAAGATCTTGTGTTTTAGAGTCTTTATAATTTTACTTTAAAAAGGAGTTGTAGACAGTAGCTTTAAATGAAAAGCTTATGATTAGTGCCTTTTCCCCAAGTTCTTTACTTGACTGTGATTTTCCTTGGCACACTCTTTTTGAGGGGGTGGAGAGGGACTGGGTATAGACCAGGCTAACCTTGAATTTACAGAGGTCCACCTGCCTCTGCTTCCTGAGAGCTGGATTAACGGCATGGGCCACATTTGGGTGGGTGGGGAAGTGGAGGGGAGTTAGAGGAGGGGAAACTATAATCTGAATATATTATATGAAAAAAACTATTTTCAGAAAGAAAAAAAGCATGTGCCAGCATGCCTGACTTAGTACGCTACTTTTATGTCTTATGTCTATAGATGGGCAGAGAAGTTAGACCGACTAACCAATACAGCAACGAAAGATCCAGAAGGGTTTGTTGGGCATCCTGTAAATGCATTCAAGTTAGTGAAACGTCTGAACACTGAATGGAGTGAGTTGGAGAATCTGGTCCTCAAGGATATGTCAGATGGTAAGTTTAAAGAGACTTCAGGACCAAAAACTAATGCAGTTCCTGGTACAGCAGGTGTTTGTGTTGTAATTTAATTATTGCAAGTATATTTAATTTGACTAGAGACACTTGATATCTGGAGCATTAGATTAAAAAAATAGTAACTTCTAATACTTGTGACAACGTGAGTGATTTTATCTTTTGATCTACAGAAATGATTAGATGATTTGGAATATAATTTCATTTCTAACAGTAAAAACATTGGTAGTCGTGTTACAAAGAGGAGTGTTAGCTGTGTTTATCCAGTATTTTGTGTTTATGTTATTTTACTTTATATAGGCAATAAATTTTTAAAAATGAAAGTATAGACATTAATACTCAAAAGTCTTTGCATGTGAAATAATAAAATTATAGTAGGAGTATTGGTGTTCTGGGTAACAACAAAAAAACCAAGCCTGAAATTTAAGGAGGTAGAGGGATTTTGTAGTGTACTGTAGAAGCTCAACTATTTGTTGAATGTGTGACTGGTAAGAAAGAAAGAAGAAAGTTTCAAGCTGAACCATGTAGATAAAATACTCTGTAGACTGCTTACCAGTGTTGGTGAGCAGCAAAGTAAACCTTACAGTCTCTTTATCCGTGGGCGTTATAGTTGGCCACCATTCCAAAGTGTGGAAAACTTCAAAACTAAACAAGAACCTGCAAGTTTTGTGGCTTTCTGACTGTGAGATGAACTCTTCTGCTGACCTGCTGAGATGTGAGGTCAGGTACCTTGCAGCATATCCCTGCCCTTAGTCCTTAGGTGCCCTCTGTTCTCAGAGCGTTGTTGTGGTCTCACATTTCATAGTGTTAAGCAGCCCTTGGAGCACATACGATCCATGAGTGCAAGATAATGATGCTGCAATTTGGATGTGTCAGAGAAAAGCAATAATATGTTCCTATAAGTGACAGTTCTTGACTTAGAAATGAAAGAAAAAAAAAACAGCGCTAGGATCCTTGGTAAGAATAAGTCTCATATTCATTAAATTATTAACAAGGAAAAAGAAATTCTTAATAATTGTACCACAGTTTACAAAAGCTATGCTCATGATGAGCACCTCTATTAGCTAGAAAAGATACTGAACTTGTGAAAGAAAAAGCAGTCTATAAAGTTTTCAAGTACTGATAGTTTTGCAGTGGGTCTCCTGTGGGTAAGTAAGGAGCACTACTACCTATAAGATCATGAAAAGTAATGGCAGATGCTGGTGGATACTTTTTTTTTTTACCATGCGCAGATTTTCCCACTATATTAATAGCTGAGACCATTTATAAGGAAATATACCTTTTGTCTCTACACACACACACACACACAAAACAAAAAAAAAACAAAACTATATATGCATGGGGGGAGAGAGGGAAGGAGGACCTGTCTAAAATGCACAGAGCCTTGGGTCCCATCCCAGACAGACACAAACACTACAGGATTTATATAAATATATTAAAACCAAACTAACAAATGAATTACTTGATAGCTATATAGTCCCTAAAGAGATATGGATTATTAGCACTCTTTAAAAAAAACAAAATCAAAATGTGATTTAAAATTTTAATAACACAAATGTCACTACTGTAAATAGTTATATATATACTATATATAATATAAAACAATAATAGAATATTATATTGCATATACTATAATATATATTATGTATAGTATAACACATTATCTATAATCATGTATACATTTACTCTTTTTCATTGGGAAAACTTAAGCAGTATATTAGGTTTTGTTTTGATGCATAAGAAACATAGGAGCCAGATGTAATGGTGCACACCTTTAATCCCAGCACTCAAGAGGCAGGGGCAGGTGGATCTCTATGAGGTCTTAGTCAGCCTGGTCTAGTTAGACTCTGGCTTGAATAAACAGCAACAACAAAAAAGAAACACACAAACAAAAAACCCCATAGTCTTTCATAAAATTTGCTAATTTCATGGGGAAAAGTTAATTTTAAACTAGAAAATATTAATATGAATGCTAGTCTTCCAGCTAACTATTCACTTATACATTTCCATTAGTTTAAAAAATATCTGATGTTTACTGATCAAAATACATACAGTTGACAACAAATTAATGAAACTATTTACAGTTAGTACATTTGTATTAAAAGTCAATGAGTTTTTATAGCCTAGCCTCCCCCACTATTTTTTCTATTTCAAGGCTTTATCTCTAACCTGACCATTCAGAGGCAGTATTTCCCTAATGATGAAGATCAGGTTGGAGCAGCTAAAGCTCTGATTCGTCTGCAAGACACCTACAATCTAGACACAGACACCATCTCAAAGGGCAATCTTCCAGGTAAGAGAATTCTTCCCATCCAGCTGTTCTCTTCAGTCGACTAGGAAAATGTGAGTAACTTTATATCTAAATGTTTGTAACATGGTCTCCTGCAGTTCAGCCTGGTCTCAAACTCAAGCTCATGGCAGCCTTCCTGAGTGCTGGGATTACAAGCATATACTGCTATACCTGGCTTTCTATCTTACAGATTTTAAATGTAGCTTATTTTATAGAGACAGGTCTCCTTGATGGCTTGGAACACAGAGATCTGCCTTTTCTTTGCCTCCTGAGTGCTTGTACCACCGTCTGGTCTTTCTTTTTCTTTTCTTTTTTTTAATGAAGAAAGCTATTTGTTGTTGGTATTTACAAGGATATGAGAGTAAATGGGGTCATGCACATGCCATGACACGTGTTTAGGGGTCAGAAAACAGTCTGGGAGTGAGTTCTCTCCTTCTTTCATGGGATCTGGTGATCCAACTGATGGACCATCTCAGTAGCCCTACTTTGTATCCTTTGAGAATAAAAGGAAACTCTCCCTTTCTCTAGGAGTTAATGGCAGGGGATAATGCTTTTAGCTTGATACTATGAAAGCAATGACTAAGGAAGGAATTTCAGTATGTAAGAAAAGTCATTTTTCCAGTTTTTCTTTTAGAACATCTGATATTACTTAAATACTTTGTAGATAAAACTATAAGATGATTAATCATCAGAACTTTTTATGCTCATTAACTAAAAGCTAAGATGTTCTGAAAATGGGCAGATATTAAAATGTTCTGTAGTATGAGGGTGAAGAGATGGTCCAGTGATTAAGAGCATTGGCAGTTCTTTCATTGCACTTGGGTTAAGTTTTTAGTGTACCCAGACAGCTTATAACCATCTCTAATTCCAGTTCCAGGGGATCTAATGACTTTTTCTGACTTACATGGGTACTATGCACATATGTGGTACATAAACATACATGCAGGCAAAATATGCATATACATACTTTTTAAAGGTTCTGTAGTATGAAGCAATTTAGTATATGACTATTTTGCCAAAAAAATTGTGCAAAAAATTTGAGTTACGTCTGGTTTTACTGTAATTTGCTTCTGTCACTTTTTCTGTGATTTGGTGGCTCATTGTCTCCTTTCACTATCACTGTGGCCAGACTGAAGTTGGTTTTCTCAGTAACAAAGCAAGACAGAAATGGTTATTGATGAAGATGCTTTCTTTTTCTCTTCTTTTTTATTGGTTTTTTTTGTTTTGTTTTGTTTTTTTCAAGACACGGTTTCTCTTTGTCTAGTCATGGCTGTCTTAGAACTTGCTCTGTAGACCAGGCTGGCCTTGAGTTCACAGAGGCCTCTGCCTCCTGAGTACTGGGATTAAAGGTGTGTGCCGCCACCACCTGGCTGAAGATACCTTTCATTTGGGATAAGTCGTGGAATAGTAAAATTAATATTTTTAAAATAAACTGGAATATTTAGGGGAGTATGTAGGCATTTTTCCTGTCCTGCTGCCACTCTCAAATAACACACTGAGACTTAAATTAGAAATTCTCAGCCAATAGCTCAGGCTTGTTACTAGCTAATTCTTACATTTTAAATTAAGCATTATTTCTTTGCCACCTTTTCTCAGTGTGGCAAGCTATCTCCTGCTTCCTCTGTACAGACTTTGCTAGTGACTCTGCCCTTCTTCTTTCCATCATCTCAGCTTGACTCTCCCGCCTAACTTTATCCTGTTCTGCTGTACAAAATATAGACGGGGTAACCAAACTAAGGATGATGGGAAGGAGAAGGGTGGAGTAAGGAGACACTGGCCAGACACCAAGAGAGCAAGATGGGCATGTTGTACTGAGAAAAAGTACTGTACCGCCACATGGCCGAGCATAAGTAAGGATTATGGGTTAACTTAAAAATGTAACAGCTAGTTAATGATAAGCCCAAGCTATTGTTTGAGCATTTATCAGTAATTTTAAGCCTCTGTGTGTTAATTTGGGAAGTGGCTGGCTGCCAGGTATTTGGGACTGAGTGGCTCTAAGACAGGAAACTTTTGTCTATACTGTTTAGCTATTGGACAGTCAGCTGCTTTTTTTTTAATGGCTATTTTTTTTATTTAGAAACAATCTTATTTTACATATCAATCCCCCATTCACTCTCCCTCCCATCCTCCCATTCCCCCCACTGACCCTTCCCAACTTACCCCCCACTCACTGCCCAAGGATAGTGAGGCTTTCCATGGGTGATCATAAGTCTGTCACATCATTTGGGATAAGGCGTAGGCCCTCCTCTGTGTATCTGGGCTGAAATAGTATCCCTCCATAGGGAATGGGCTGCCAAAGTCCATTTGTGCACTAGGGATAAATACTGGTTCTACCATTAGAGGTCCCATAGACTGCTCAGGCCTCCTAACTGGCACCCACATTCAGAGGGCTTGGTTTGGTCCAATGCTGGCTCCCCAGCTTTAGGACTGGAGTCCATGTGCTCTCACTAGGTCAACTCAGCTGTTTCTGTGGGTTTCTCCAGCATGGTCTTGACTCCTTTGCTCATCCCTCTTCCCTCTCTACAACTGGATTCCAAGAGTATGGCTCAGTGCTTAGCTGTGGGTGCCTGCTTCTATTTCCATCAGTTACTGGATGAAGGCTCTAGGATGGCAATTAAGGTAGTCATCAATCTCATTATAGGGGAAGGGCATCAAAGACGGCCTCTCCACTACTGCGTAGATTCTTAGTTGGGGTCATCCTTGTGGATCTCTGTACATTTACCTAGTACCAGATTTCTCTTTAAACCTATACTGGCTCCCTCTATTAAAGTATCTCTTTTCTTGCTCTCCTCTATTCCTCTGCTGACTCAGTCTTCCTGATCCGTCTTGTTCTCCTCCCCCCTTGTCTCCCCTTCTCTTTTCCCTACTTCCCTCCCTCTCTCCCCATCCTCCCAATTTGCTCAGGAGTTCTTGTCCCTTTCCCCTTCATTGGTGGACCATGTATTTCTCTCTTAGGGTTTTCCTTGTTTTCTAGTTTCTCTGGTGGTATGAATTTTAGGCTGGTAGTCCTTTGCTCTCTGTCTAAAATCCATATATGAGTGAGGACATGCCGTGTTTGTCTTTCAGAATGGTTTCTTCCACTTCATCCATTTGCCTTCGAATTTCAAGATTCTGTTGTTTTTTCTGCTAAGTAGTACTCCATTGTGTAAATTTACCACATTTGCTCTATCCATTCTTCAGTTGAGGGGCATCTAGGTTGCTTTAGGGTTCTGGCTATTACAAATAATGCTGCTATGAATGTAGTTGAACATATGTCCTTGTTACATGAATGTGCATCCTTTGGGTATATGCCTAAGAGTGGAATTGCTGAATCTTGAGGTAGACTGATCTCCATTTTCCTGAGAAACAGCCATACTGATTTCCAAGGTGGCTGCACAAGTCTGAACTACCACCAGCAATAGAGGAGTGTTCCCCTTTCTCCACATCCTCTCCAGCATAGACCGTTATTGGTGTTTCTGGTTTTAGCCATTCTGGCCCGTATAAGGTGTTATCTCAGAGTTGTTTTGATTTGCATTTCCCTGATGACTAAGGATGTTGAGCACTTTCTTAAGTGTCTTTCAGCCATTTTAGATTCCTCTATTGAGAATTCTCTGTTTATTTCTGTACCCCACTTTTTAATTGGATTGTTTGGTGTTTTGGTGACTAGCTTCTTGAGTTCTTTGTATATTTTGCATATCAGTCCTCTGTAAGATGTGGGGTTGGTGAAGATCTTTTCCTGTTCTGTGGGCTGCCATTTTGTCTTGTTGACAGCTTCTTTATTAAACCAATTACAGCAAGAAATCTTCACAGTGTACAAAAGGATTAGTCCACAACAGAGTGCTCAGATTTGTATTTTATTTTCTATTTCTATTAACATTATATTACAACATTTGATAAGATAATAACATTTAAAAGTTGGCTTCTGGTTTATAATCCCACATTCAACAGACATTAATTATGTCATATGTGTAGTTACTAAGATCAGTACAAAAATTATATAATAAACAAGATAATACCTTTGTCATTTAAGGTATTTATGTTCTCAATGAATGCCTGGAAGGGAGAGTGTGGTGATATTTTTTTATGATCTAACAAGTAAAGCTTGCCTAAAGATCAGAGTACAAAGCTAGCCACACTAGTTAACCATAGAGGCCAGGCAGTGATGGTGTATACATTTAATCCCAGCACTAGAGGCAGACAGATCTCTGTTAGTTCAAGGCTACCCTGGGCTACACATTATTGATCCAGTCTAAAAGAGAAGCAGAACTCACACAAAGGTGACCGCAGCATTTGGAGTGGCATGCCTTTAATTCCAGCACTAAGGAGGTAGAGACAGGAAGGGATACGACTGGGCAGAGAGGGGAATATAAGCGGGAAGGAGTTCAGGGCAGTGTGAGAGTGCAGTCTACGGCAGTCAGTTTTAAGTCTGAGGATGCAGTCTGAGAACAGGGTCATCCCTTTGGTCTGAGCACTGGTAGAGATAAGAACTCTGTAGTGACTGGCTACTTTGCTTCTCTGATCTTCAGCACTAACCCCTATATCTGACTCTGGGTTTTTATTAATACCAATTAGAATCAAGCTACAGGAGAGCTTTAGTATATATAGTAGAAGCTTGCAGGAGGGATGCTAATTCCAGGCTTCACAGAAGTGAAAAATGACTTCTTGAAAGACATATTAAAATAATTGAAATCTAATGAAGAAGGCATTAGCCAGGAGAATGGAGAGGAGCTGGACAGGTATAGGCAAGGGAAAAGTGTTATAGACAGAAAGACCATGTCTGAAAGCTAGAAGGGAGAGAGTGTATCATATTCAGATAAGTAACATACACTTTTCTTTGTTTGTTTGATTGATTGATTCGGTTTTAGTTCTTTTTGAGACAAGGTTTTTCTGTGTAGACACGATTGTCCTAGAACTTGCTGTAGACCAGTTTGGCCTCAACTTAAGAGATTTGCGTGCCTCTGCCTCCCGAGTGCTGGGATTAATGGTGTGCTCCACCACACTGACTAACAAATATTTTGTGTGGCTTAACACACAGTTCCAGTGGACCGTGCATGAGTTAGGAATGGGATTTGGTAGTGACATGTGAGGCTAAAGAGATAAGCAGACACCATCCCTTAGGGGGCTTTTTTGTTGTTGTTTTTTGGGGTTTTTGTTTTGTTTTGTTTTTGTTTTTCGAGACAGGGTTTCCCTGTGGCTTTGGAGGCTGTCCTGGAACTAGCTCTATAAGACCAGGCTGATCTCGAACTCACAGAGATCCGCTTGCCTCTGCCTCCAGAGTGCTGGGATTAAAGACATGCACCACCACCACCCAGCCAGAGGGCTTGTATTATTTCTCCCATTTTCTTGCCCACCATGGAATAATCTCATTTCCAGGTGCTGTGTTGATTTGTTTTTTCACCTTCTTTTTTCAAAAACCCAATTCTAGACAGTCTTCTGTAATAATTGTGACTAGATAATAGCTAAAGCAATCATAATCACTGTACCAAAGTAGAATAGCTGAATATCTGCCCTTTATCATCATGTTTATTCATACAACATTGCCAGCGTATTGTGTCATTCCAGAATATTACTGTGATGTCTGAATGTGTTGATGTTTATACTCTCCTCCTAATGTGCTTTCCATGGCCTCAAAACACTTAGACTTGCTGAACCGTGTGCTCACTTTAGATATGTGCCAGCAACACAATAGTGAGCATCAAAATTTAATGGGACTGTTTTGCTTATGGAATTATATCACATTCAACTATTAAGTTAGGATTTTTATATCTGCTATTGTTGAATGTATCCTCTGCCAACTGCAGCTATTGAAACTTCATTGCCATGAATTTGAGGCCAGCCTGGGTACATAACAAGTACCAGATCATACAAGATTATTTCTTTTATCAGTTTGTTGGTTAGTATTATTAATTTGACCAAAGTAGGATGCCCTGGGAGGAGACAGGCCTCTGAGCTTACCTGTGAGTCATTGTTATTAAATTGAAATAGGAAGACTATAGGTGGGTTCATTCCCTCACTGGCATGTTGTATAAATTTAACAGGAATTTTCTTTGTCATTTTATTTTTTTATTGAAAATGGGTTTTTTGTTGTTGTAGTTGTTTGTTTGTTTTTGGTTTTTTGTGACAGTTTCTTTGTGTAGCTTTGGAGCCAGTCTTGGAACTAGCTCTTATAAACAGATATGATTTCTGCTGTTATATAACTTCATTGATGTTTCATTTTGGTAACTTCATCTGCTTCATATATACTTGATAAATGAAAACGTCTGTGCCCAGATGTTAATAATAATAATACTGTAATACCAATAATGAAAACTCAGACAGATATTGGGGTTAAAGCTGAAGAATGGAGAAGCAAAGCAGCCAAGCCACCAGAGAGCACTTACCTCTACCAAGGCTGGGCAGTCCTATCCTCAGTGTGGCTGGAGACTAATTGCCAGAACCTGAGACCATGCTCCTTTATTCCTCTCTAGTGCTGGGATTAAAGGCATGGGCTTTCAAGTGCTGAGATCATCTCTGTGTGAGCCTTGAACTCACAGAGATCTGTCTGTTTCTGTCTCCTGAGTCCTAAGATTAAAGGTATGTGCCACCATTGCCAGTCTCTATGGTTGATTAGTGTGACTGGCTTTGCATTCTGATCTTCAGTGGCTTTATTAGATCATAAACAGTATGTCACCACATAATAATATATTGATAGTCATCATGTAACATGTTACATAATTTTATCCAAATCTTGGATTCTTTTTCATTTTTTACATTTATTTATTTTTACATTTATTTATTTTGTGTGTGTGCCATAGGGGTGCCATGGCATGCATGTGGAAGTCAGAGGAAAACTGTGGAGTCAGTTCTTTCTTTCCACTGTGAGTTCTAGGGATAAACTCAGAGCTTCATGCTTGGAGACTGGTGGCCTTACCTGCTAAGCCATCTCATTGGCCTTAGGCTCTTTAGGCACATCCCCTGTTCAAGCTTCGTAATCCTTGTTATGCTGCATTATTTTGTTTGTAGAATCAGGACAATCTTTGCTTTGAATTTGTTTAGAGACATGGTTTCTCTGTGTAGATCTGACAGTATATATATAGACTAGGCTGGCCTTGAATTCACAGACAATTCACTGTCTGCCTTTACTTCCTGAGTGCTGGGACTAAAGGTATGTGCTAACACACCCAGCTGATTATTGCTTTTCTTACCATCAGATTACTAAGAACAAATCAAAATGAAGTAGCACTTGGAAAGTTTATGTAACCCTAAGTAAATACAGTACCGTATGAAGATTGCCAATGCTCTGTGTTTTCTTTTCCTAGGAGTGAAGCACAAGTCTTTTCTAACAGCCGAGGACTGCTTTGAGTTGGGCAAAGTGGCCTATACAGAAGCAGACTATTACCACACAGAACTGTGGATGGAACAGGCACTAATGCAACTGGAGGAAGGCGAGGTTTCTACCATAGACAAAGTCTCTGTCCTAGATTATCTGAGCTATGCAGTGTACCAGCAGGGAGACCTGGATAAAGCGCTTTCACTCACAAAGAAGCTTCTTGAACTAGGTATGTTATCTGTCTAATTTACATTATTTACACGGGGGGGTGCATTTTATCTACGTATCTTTGTACTTGTCTCCAATTACACAACTCTAGTACTTGCTCTACTAGACAGTCTTTATCTTCTCACTACTTACTCTCAAAGTAAGTGGTAGATGAGTTTTTTACCTAATAGTATCACAGCAGTTGCTGTGTTCCTCTGCCATTTTTTCCCTCTGGGGATTTAAAAACTGGAACAGCCAAGTGACAGTTGTGCACAACTTGAATCTCCAGCACTTGGGAGACAGAGGCGGGGGAATCTCTATGAGTGCAAGGCTAGCCTGGTCTACATAGTGAGCCTCTACCTCAAAAACAAAAACAAAAACAAAAAACAAAAGAGTTGATGGAGTTGAAGACAGATAGTTATGGTTATGGTTGTCCTTAGTTATGATAAAAGATAAGTTACATATAAAACTTTAGACTCACAAAGATATGATAGATGATAGAATATTTTCTTTAAATTTTGCAAAATGTTAGTGAATTAAATATTGTTATCTATAGTTCTTGCTTGATAACTATTTTGTTATATATAGTTTTACTATGTTATAGTTAAAGCCTTTTTATTTAGACAGAAAAGAGGAAATGATGGGGGATGTCCTTCTGTGTGCTGTGAATATATGTTTCTCTTATTGGTTGATGAATAAAGCTGTTTTGGCCAATGAACAGATAGGATTTAGCCAGGCAGGAAATCTAAACAGGAATAGAGAAAAATAGTAGGCAGAGTCAGGAAGATGCCATGTAGCTGCTGAGGAAACAAGAGGTCTGGGCATCATTGGAAAGCCAAGACCTCTTGGGGATACACAGATTAATAAAAATGGGTTAATAATTAAGAGAGAGCTAGCCGATAAGAAACATGAGCCGTCATCCAAACAGTTTATAATTTATGTAAGCCTCTGTGTTTATTTGGGACTAAACAGCTGTGGACTAGGTGGGACAGAAATTTGCATCTACAAAGAGTAAATAAAGAAATAGGATCAAACCTAAATGAAGAACTCAGTTGAAAATGTTTACTTACCATGTGGCCAAGGTAATTGCTAATTCCTTTCCTTTGAAGAACATTATTCTTTTTTGCATTTCATATTCAAATGTTAGAAAAATGATATGAGAATTTTTTTAAAAATTGTTTTATGTATGAGTATTTACTATAGCGTGTGTGTAGTGATCACTAAGGCCAGAAGAGGGTGTCGCATCCCTTGAAAGTATGTGGGTGCTGGGAACTGAACCCCGGGCCCTTTTCAAGTGCAGCAGTGCTCTTAATCACTGAGCCATTTCTCTAGCCCCCCAAATTCTTTGATTCCTACCCAAGAGCTACTGTGCTTCAATTGTTGGAAATGGAGTCTCAGAATATATAAAATAATAAATTCAGTCAGCCTTTGCTACATTATGAATAACATGTAATTATTTTATGGTTAAGATGATAAATGTTAGAAGAATGCAACTGCTCAAAAAAAAAATTGATCATCTGACAGAGAAGATTAGCATGGTCCCTGTGCAAGGATGACATGCAAATTTGTGAAGCATTTACATCATTTGAATCTATTTTGAATTTTTCTCTTGTTTGTTTGCCTAATTTTGTTTTATAGCCTAAAATAAAAACTACATACAGTTTTAAAAAAATTGATCATCTGAAGTGAGCTTTATGATAATTGGTTTATTTCTTATATGAATAAATCAAGATAGTAGTTCAAATAACATTTGTTTGTCTTTTGGTATGTTTTTCTCTTGATTTAAATTATACTTTGCATCCCATGTAGAAATTAATACAGAAAAATAATCAACTTTTTTTCCATTGTAGTATATAGTCCCTTTCTATACACATTTACTTTTCTCTCTTATTGTATATCATAATGTACATTGTGATCTATTTCAGAAGAACTAAAAATATTTTACTAACTGAACACTGATTAATGCCACAAGTGATACCTCTACTTCCTGTTCTTTTTATTTCTGTCTTTGTGGTTGTTTGGATTGGTTTTTCTTTACTAGAAAGTAGCTAAAAATTATCACTAGCAATTTCTGGGGCAGTTAATGAATTTTGGCATGTTTTCTTTTTCCTTCTTACTTAGAAATTTGGAGCTAAAGTGTACTTAGCCCTCAGATGTAAATTGGTCTGCATTTGTGTGTGGTGAATATCAGTTATGAGATGTCTACTTTGTCTTTACCTAGTGATTACTTTGTAGCCGCAAAATGATCTTTCCCTTTTCTTAATACAGAGGAAGAAGATCTTTTTTTTCTCCCCCTGAGACAGGATTTGTCCTTGTAGCCCTGGCTGTGCTAGAACTTGATCCTCCTGCCTCTGTCTCCTAAATGCTAGGATTAAAGGTATGTGCCACCATGCCCAGCTGAGTAAGACTCTAAAGTGTCATTTGACATCAAATTGGACATTGTTCTAAGGCTGATCAATAAAGTTCTCAAAGTAGAAGCAGTGATTGCTTCCTAAACATTCAAAACTGCTTCTGTCACCAGAGCTGTCTCTGTGCAGGGTGGCTCTATGTCCTGATTAACTTGGACAGTACTAGTTTACATCTTGTTTTGGCACTAATAAATTACTTAGTGCCTCCTTTTCAAAAGCATCTTAATTAGGAAGGTAAACTTTAGATCCCCGTGTTTATGTTACTGGTTTCTGACAACTGAACAACTGTAAACTTGACCGTGTACACTTTTTTCTCTCTAATAGACCCTGAACATCAGAGAGCTAATGGTAACTTAAGATATTTTGAGTATATAATGACTAAAGAAAAAGATACCAATAAATCTGCTTCAGATGACCCATCTGATCAGAAAACTACACCAAAGAAAAAAGGGATTGCTGTGGATTACCTGCCAGAGAGACGGAAGTACGAAATGCTGTGCCGTGGGGAGGGTATCAAAATGGTAAAGTGGAAAAAGTCAATTGTGTGTGTGTGTGTGTGAATATGTGTGTGTTTGTACATAGAGCAGAGAGAGACTCAAAGTATGTATATATATACATATGCCAATGTGATAAAAATCAGAGTGACTGCACAAAATAGTGTGCTGTATTGTCTTACCATGGATAAAAATGCATCACGATTCTCCAAATGAACTGATTATAGAACTTTCTTTTAAACCGTTGTGTGGTACAGACATACATGGTTAGTGAGTTTTTAGAGTAAGTATTTCTAAGTGTAAACTCTTGAAAAAATGCTTAAATTGTCTTTCCTAAAAACTAAGTTAGGTTTTTTTATTTTGGTACTGAAGACTTTTGACAGGCTAATCACTAACCACAAATGTATACATTGCATCATTATGGATAGATTCATGACTTCCTAAGCAACAAGTTTTTGTTTTTACTTTGGGAGCTAATGAGCAATGCAAGAATAGGAAGACTTTGTTAGTTTCTGGCATCTAGTGTGTGTGTTAGGCACCTTTGTATCACTGATAAAATGCTCAAGACAGCTTTAAAAGGAGGAAAGATTCATTTATGCTCATGGGTTCAGAGATTTCAGTCCATATTCCATGCCACTCACTGCATCCATTGGGCCCATGGCAAGACGGGACATCTTAGAGAGAGGGTATGTGGTAAAGCAGAACTGCTATGGCAGCTCAGAAGAGAGCAACAGGACGGGATTCCCAACATCACCTTCTGGGCACATCCTGGTGACTTTCCATTAGGCCCCATTTCCTAAAAGATCTACCACCTGCCAACCATGTCACAGGCTAGTGACCAAACTGAGAATTTAGAAGCAATCTCCAGCCAGACTCTAATAATATATATCTTTTAAAGATAAGAACTCAATCTCACTAGAGGCCATGATCATACTTTTACAGATTTATAGAAGTCACATAATAATACCAAATGTCTAGTTAGTTTTCAGATTTCTGTGGTGAGCTTTTTGTTTTGAAAACAGGATCTCCTATACCACAAAGTATTTATTGGTTTGTAACTGTATGTTAATCATTATGGAATTTTGACCTTCTGGTCCTTCTGCATCTATGGCCACACCGAGTTATACACTGCTAAGGATTCAACTCAGTGCTTTGTGCATGTTAGGGAAGCACTCTGCCAACTGAACTACATCTCCAGTCCTTTCTCTTAATAACTTTTAAGTCAGCAAAGTGGAATTAAGAATTCCTATAGGATCCTGCTAATTTATATTTGTTAGTATACCCCATGAATGTCAGCTCTGCCCATAGTCAGAGAAGTAGCCCCTTTTCAAATTGTTAAATTCATCATTATAAAAGATTTATTTGATATAAAGCCTTGGATTTGACTCTTGAAGTGCATGGAGAAAACCACAAATATTATTTGTTACCTAACAGTTAAATGTCATGTGTTTAAGCTAAGAACATGAGTGTGAAACCATCATTCAGTTTGAAGTCAGCCTGGTCTATGAGGGTCCTTGCCTTTAAAAATTAAACAATATCTTATTTCATTCCTGTATGTGCACAAATGGCTGAAGGAAACATTTATTTGCTTTGTTGTCTGTTCTGTTCTCATTCTCAACAATACAAAAGCCTGGTTTCCTTAATTACTTTCTCTTTTTTATAACTTCTCATTTTTGCTTTTAAAAGCATACTATTACTGGGGCTGAAGAGATAGTTATTGGTTATAAGTGCTTGCTGCTCTTCCAGTAGCCATATCAGGTGGCTCAGAGCTCCCTGTAACTCCAGGAGCGTTGAAGAACACCCTCTTCTGTTTTACGGCACTACACTCACAAGCACATGCACACCTGTTAAAGATGTATGCACACATACTGTTCTCATAACTGCTGTTTTTATCATAAGCTTTTAACTGAGAGATAATTAGAAAAAGTTCATTTAGTTTAGGTTTTTTTTTGTGGGGGGTCCCCTACTTTTTGACTGCATTTTTCTGGGTACCTCCTGGTTATTTTGGATTTTGATCAATGCTGGACATACTTTTTGTTTCTTTCAAATAAGCATGTAAATGTTATTTGATATTTATAATATCTAAAATTTATTTGATAAGAGAATGGTGGAAACAAGGTACATTATCTTTTTTCTTATTTGGGGCCTCCCCCTTCCCCAGTCCTGGAGATTGAGCCCAGTGCCTTTCATATGCCAGGTAACTACTCTGCCACCAAGCTACACCCTCAGACAATAGGAATCATTAATAAAATTTTAAAGATCCTAAATGTTTGGTTTGATGCAAAACATTTGCAGGATACTGCTGCTTGTGTGCTGTTCCAGAGATCATCTGTGTATGTATGTGCAAACATAATTATTGTTTCTAACCCATATAGGAATAGACAGGTATTATTCTAATGTATTCATTATTTTCTTTATATTTAGACCCCTCGGAGACAAAAGAAGCTGTTCTGCCGCTATCACGATGGAAACCGGAATCCTAAATTTATTTTGGCTCCAGCCAAACAGGAGGATGAGTGGGACAAGCCTCGTATTATTCGTTTCCATGATATTATCTCTGATGCAGAAATTGAGATTGTCAAAGACTTAGCGAAACCAAGGGTAACTTTTTTTCTTCTCAGTTTACTGAATGTTTTACTCTTTTCTTTGCAAGTTGACAGGAAGGGTAACTAAGGTGGCTATAAATTCAGACTGTTTTAAGTATCGTTGCCACAACATAATGGTGTTAAGTTACGGTTTATGCTAGTTGTCTCAGTTTGTTATCCACACAAGTAACACATGCTATGGCAGGGATTTAAACAGTAAATAATGAAAACCACAGATTTGTGTTCATACATAAGAAATTGGGTTTTTTGCTGTCTTACTGGAAGACCTTCCTACATAATTTGTAGCCTTCAGTACCACTCAAAGCTAAACTTTTTCAGACATAGTGTATTTTTATAGGTGTCTTGTTAGTTTTAAAATAGTACTATAGTTTCATAATTTTCGTTTATATGTATTTCTTTTCTTTTATGTATACGGGTGTTTTGTTTGCATGTGTGTTTGTAAACTGTGGGTGTGCTGGCTAGAGAGTACCAGATCCTCTGGAACTGGGTTACAGATTGTTGAGTTCTGCCATGTGGGTGCAGGGAATCGAACCTTAGTGCTCTGCAAGAACAACAAATTCTCTGAAGAACTGCTGAGCCATGGCTCCAGCCCCCTTAATCTATCTTAATAAGAAACCTAGTGGAATGTGAGTTATGCCTCATTCTGCACATTTAAAAGCTTGTCTTTTATGTGAGAATGTGGAGACTATCTCTCTGTCCTTGCCTTTCCCCATCTTGTTCTTTAAAACAGTACATCTATTAATAATAAAATAGAAGCTTTTTAGAGATTATTAAATAAATTCAGATTATTATTTTTCTTTTGTAATACCTAGAGTTCGATGCATTTCTATAAAGGTCAAGCTAGTCAGTGTTTTTTTGGGCTTTGTCAGCTGTGTTGTCTCTGTCCCAACTATTCAGCTCTGCCATCCAGTGTAAAAGCAGCCAGAGAGAGCATGCGAATAAATGCGGTGGCTGTGGTGCATCAACTTTTTACTTCTAAAACCTGGTGGCAGCTGGTTTGGGCTAGAAGGTGTGCTGACTGTGTATATTTGTACTTATATAAGTATTCTTATGTTTTTAGATTTTCTCATTTTTAACATAATATTTTTATTGATTATTTGAGTATTTCATGTCACACACCCTGATCACACTCACTTCCCAGTCCTCCCAGGTGCTCTCCACTGCTGTGACCTCCCCCCCAAAAAAGAAGAAAAACACAAGTCCAAAAGTCCAATGTGTGCTGTCCATATAAACTTGACATTTTTAATGTTTTATTATTTTTCCAAACTGACACTTTTTGGTTTTATGAAAGAAAAAGAAAATGGCTGCTGTCCAGGGACATTCTCGAAAATCAGTGGCCAAGTAGACTGTCTCTTAAAATGACTCCGTATTTTTTCATTCTTATTTGAATTCATAAGTAAGTCCTTTATTTGTAGTCAGACTTAGTTTTTAGTCTTAGTTTTTATTTCTTGGTAGGATATTTGTTAAGAATTCACTTTTGAGATGAAAGGCCTTAGTCTCCAAGGAAAATTCTTTACTTGGGATTGTTTTTGATCAATAAATTCAGTGGCAACTAGTTACTATTTTGAAATTTCAGAATTACCCTCCTGTTTTAAAAAGTCTGAAATGATTGCCTTGGCAGCCATCTTTCCTTCTAACCCTAGCTGCGTTGCTTTTCTACCTCCCTGCAGAAAGGCTGGTTTGCTGTATATATTACTGAAAAGATAAAGAAATGCCCTTAAAACAAATTTTAGACAACATTCCCTTTGTAAGCATGTCTTACTGGAGTTACAATCTGAGGTTTTAGAGTAGACAATTACAAATAACCTTTTTGTTTGTTTTTTTGTTTTCTAGACAGGGTTTCTCTATGTAGCCCTGGCTATCCTATAACTAGCTCTTGTAGACCAGGCTGGCCTCAGACTTACAGAGATCCACCCGACTCTGCCTCCCAAGTGCTGGGATTAAAAGGCGTGCGCCACCACCTCCCTACACAAACAGCCGTTCTTACAGCTATAAATTGTACTTAAGAATTTTTCTTCTCATTCTCATCACATTCTGTAACTATTGAAGAATTTAATTTTCAGTCTTTTCTGTTTGTGTGTCCTGTATTCATGCAGTACAACAGCAAGTAAAATTTTTAAGAAACACACCAAAAAACTGGCTTTCATGGCTCAACACAAGGTGATTGGAAGGGTATTGAGTTTTTTCCTCAATTCACCGTCTTTTGTTTAAAAGAAAAGGAAACCAAGAGTTCTGACTGACTAGGTAAATGTGATTCTTTTTTTTTTTTTGTCTTGTAATGCAACTATTTTGATGGTTGGCTTCACAGCTGAGGCGAGCCACCATTTCAAACCCAATAACAGGAAACTTGGAGACGGTACATTACAGAATTAGCAAAAGGTAAGAGATTGTATGCTGCATATTATTCCTCCTAACGAGTGTTTTGAACATCCTACCAGAATTCTTACTCATTTAAGAAGTAGTTCATTTCCCGTCTCCAGCTCAAGTGGCCGCCTTACACATGAGAAGAGTAACGCATGGACTCATGCTTCGTGTTTCACAGGCTTTCCCTTAACTAGAAGTTCTGGTCTTATCTCTTTTGGTCTCATCTTCCAGGAAGAAAATGCTTTGTATTTTTAAGATCAGGTATTAAGCACCCAGGAAATTGCCTGGTCCTTTTCTTTTCCGTTGCTTTGAGAGTGGGAAGTAAAGAAAATGAAGCTGTGGCTAACCTGGGGTAGAGTGCTGTAGTGACTCACCTCCTGCTCTGTGGCCACTTTGTCTTTTGTCGTTAATCTGTCATTGTCATTATAGAGTAATCTGTTCTTACTGGAGATTTTCGTCTTAAAAAAAAAAGTCACTGGCCCAAAAGTTGGCTGTGGAAAGAGCAGTTCTGCTTCTGAGCTCAGTTTTCCAAATGACTTTGTGATCTCTGTTGACCTTGATGATGCAGAGAGACTGAAAAACAGTTTAGTCCTGATGAAAGTTTTAAAATGATGAGCTAATTTAGAATGCAAGAACATTAAACTTCTAGACCTGGGGAAAGTTCCTGTGAAACCCACTGCCGCATATCATTTACATACAGTCTCAAATGATGTTAGTTTTAAAAAAGTGAAAGGACAATAAATACATTTACAATCAAATTCTGCCAACCATTTTTCTCCTGACTTAGAAGTGGCTGTTCTTCCTGCCACCTTTCTGAATGTTTTGCTGATTCGAACCATTACCCGCCATGCAGACCAATCAGAATCCTTCCAATCACCTGTGGCTTGGCAAAAAACAAAACTGAGTGAGCAAAGCCCATACGGCCTGCTGGAGTGTAAGCCCTTGTCCTTTCTCTTTTTTCTTTTTGTAGCTGAGCCGAGCTACAGTACATGACCCTGAGACGGGGAAATTGACCACAGCACAGTACAGAGTATCTAAGAGGTAAGGGAGCAATGGAGAGAACTTGAGGCATATTTCGAGTGTTCTTTCTTGAGAATCTAATTTTGACAAAGTATATGATATTGTTTTTAAGACATAGATGTCAGCTAAAGTTTTGATGTCTGCTTGATTTTCATAATGGACCAATAAGTAACGACAGGCAGTTACAGGCATTTTCCAAATCATTGATAAATATAAAATGCCTGGTGAGGTTCTGACTATGCTAACTGATACATGAGGTATCTCGTGTTGAGAGAACTTCCTAAAGGCTCAAGGCAAACCCAGCTTTGAGTTGATCTTTGGGTCACCAGTAGCTGTAAAAGAAATGCCTAGAAGGACAGTGGCACTTCTGCAAGTCTGTTTCCAATTCCTTGCTCTTTACAACATCAGAAGTAACTTTCAAGAGAGAATTAGGGTGCAGCTTAGCTGTATAACTAAGGGCTGAGTGAGGTTAGTACAGCATTGACTCACCTACGTGTGATAAAGGCTTCCCAAATCAGAAAAAGAAAACAGAAATGTCATTGCACTGAATTCTGTTTGATTTTAACCCTAAGTAAACTTTTTTCCACAGATGCAACAATTACAGATCTAAAAAAAAGCCCTGCCCATCTCATTATACACATTTAAATATATTTAATAGTAATTGCTTAATCAATTGCTTAGGATAATGGGTACTAATAATAGTTGAAATAACTCAATCTGAAGCTACTACTTTTAAAACTTGTTTTAAAGGTTTTTTTGATTGTGTGTATGTTTATGTGTGTATACTCTGTGTGCCACAATGGACATGTAGAAGTCAGAGGTTCTCTGATTTTGTAACTTGGTTCTCTCCTTCCACCTTGTTGAAGCATAGTCTGCCATGCTGTTTAATTAGAACTAACTGGCTCCTGACCTTCCAGAAAATTGAATCTTCTGTCTTTACCTCCCATCTTTGCATAGGAGGGCTGGAATTTTTTATTTTTTGTTTATTTCTTTTACAGAGATAGAACTTAAGCTTTCATGGCATGATCTGAGCTGTTTTGCCTGTCCCAATGAATTGTTTTTAACACGGCCTTTATGTAACAGAAAATTTATCGTTTTGTCAGTTACATAAATATTTTTGTCCTAGAGAACAAAACTTTTGGATATAAAATTATAACTCTAGAATAAGATTTCCCTATCAATATTTTTGACCTTTTAAAAACTTTTTTATTGTTAATTTTTAGCACTGGAAGCTAAACCTAGGGCCTCTCATGGTGGGCAAGCACTCTACCACTGAACTAAGGTAGCCCAGGCTAATCTTGGACTTGTACTTAATCTTCTTCATCTTCCTGGTGGCATGTGCCACCATGGTTGACAACTGGTATTTTTGAATCATGTCATTTTCTGTTGTTGTTGTTCGCTGTTTGAGCATAGTCAGCACCATCTCTGGCACTCGGTAAATGTCACAACCAGAGAAGAATGTGGGGAAAGTTAAGCTGCTTGTTGGGCCTCGGTAGGACAAGTCTCCACAACCACCTCGGCTGAGAACCACTGGGAGAATGAGATAAAAATGCAAGTTCTGGGTACAAGGAGGAGGAATGGTCTAAGATTTCCAAGTGTTGTGTTCATCTTTTAAAAATTTGTTAAATTACACTTTATTTTTGTGTATGGTCACATGCATGCTGCATTCAGTGCACATATGGACATCAGAAGACAACTTGTAAGCTGTGATAATGCGTGCTCTCAGGAAGCAGAGGCAGGGGGATTTCTATGAATTTGAGACCTGCATATATGGGGTTTCAGGATAATCAGGGTGACACAAAACCAGGATTGTTCAGGACATGAGGCTTGGCAGCATTTATACCCCTTACTGGTCCTATTCTTGTTTTTTAAAGCTAGATAATAGTGTGCAACAAATCTTTGTGGTGTAATGTGTTAAATATATTAAAAAGCAATCATTTCCTAGAAATTATTGACATTTTCAAAGTAGCAGGATGAGATCATTTGAAACTATTAAAAGTTACACTGAAAGTTGAGTTGTCAGTTAAGAAACAGTACAAAGAAATACGGAGATTTTAACAAGTATTTTAGAACACAATAAAAAAAATCAGAGGTTATTGATATAGCAAAAGCAAAGAGGCTAGCTAGGTGAGCAGATTCAACATTGCCGTACTTCTTTTATTTTCATTCATTCATTCATTTACTTACTTGACAAAGTAATGTTCCCTCCATATCCTAACCATGAACATAAATGCAGAATACATGGTTTTTGTTTCCCTCCATACTATTCCTTGGCTCAAATGCCAAAAAGAATATGGGGAAAAAAGAGCGTTTTAGGTTTTCTTTTAGCTTCCTCATGGCTGAGACCTCTTTGACAAAAGATGGATTACCTAAAAAAAGTGGACAAATTTAATGACTTAAAACTTTCAGAAATGAAGACCCAAAGAAACAGAAAACTGTATTTTGATAGCATAGATAGTTGAGTTATGGTAATGTGATCTAACAATAATAAACTGGAGAACATTAGCTGAGTCAAACACTTGGCATTTTCACAGTGATCAGAATTCTGTGGCCTACTTGCCACATCTGAGAGCAGGTCCTGAAACTTAAAGAGACATGGATGAATTAAAGTTTGCCATAGTCTGCTTTTAGATCTACTCATAATCAGAGCAGTTATCCTTAAGGAACATGAACAGATAGTGAGGATTTGTAGGAACTAATTTGGGTGAATTTGTTCTAAGACATAATTTACAGTGTTTCTGCGAACTGTAATCAATCTCAATTTCAGGCTAAACCTATACTGATTTTCCATTCTGTTACTGAATCTATACAAATGACCCTTTTCCGGCCAGGTGTGGCTGTGGATGCTTATTACTCCAGCATTCAGGAGGCTGAGAGGCGTAGTCATACTTGTTCTACATCCCAAGTGACAACAGAAGACTCATAGCATTTGATGCCTGAGAACAATTTTGATCAATCTGGGCAAAGTATGGCATGTTTTAAACAAACTAATGAAAAATTAGCTTTATATTCTAGTGACTTTAGTATTTTTAAAGAAATATATCAAAATAAAAATATGCTTTGAGAGACAGACCTTAGCTATTAAAGAAGCTTCCCACTGGAAATATTGAGTATATTTTAACAAATAAGGTTTTTTGCTATTCGAGGAAGAATTTCATAGATGAATGGATCGATAGGTAAATAGGTGGATATAGATACGTATTATTACCAGTGGAAATCAAGTTTTGTTTGTGGTACCGGGGATTGAACCTGTGGCCTTGTGTGCCTGGCAAGTGCTCCATCCTATAGCTGTGTCCCTGGCCTTCTTTTACTTTCTCTTGAGAGACAGTATCTTACTAAATTATTGATGCACAGTTTGCCTTGAACGTATGATCTTCCTGCCTCAGCCTCTCTAATACTTGGGATTACCCTAGTACAGGTCTGAACCACTAGACATAATTGTAAAAACCTTAATGTTGAAGTTTATATTAAATTAAATATTTGTTTCCTTTATAAATTATAAGAAAAAGGTTTCCTAGAAGAAAATATGTGTTCTGAAGTCAGTTAATATAATAATAATCCCTTTTGCTCTAGCAACATCTGGATTTTGTAACATTCCAAAAAGGAATTATTTCTAAGTGACTATATCATTTTGTGTAGAAGGAAAGGTTCCAGCATTCCAGCAAATGGAAATTTCTTTGGCAGAACACACATGGAAGTTGCTACTGTTGAAAAAAGTTCAGGCTGGCCATGGTGGGCTCCTGTAGTCTCAGCTACCTGGGAGGCTAAGGCAGGGTTGTTTGAGGTTGCAAGAATTGAGAGTTAGCCTGGGTTTTTATTTATATCACTAGCTATATGTGCCATTGACCTGGTAAATCATGTCTGTCTTTTTCTATATGAAAACCGAACCCCCCTCCCCAACTAAAACAAAACTTACCTCTTATTGCTGATTGGATAAGTGACTAGAAGAGGGGAATGGAATTTCAGTTTTTGAAAGGTTCAGTTATGTGCTGTGAAAAGACAGTTAAGTTGGGTGAATTCTGAAGTCAATTTGCAATAGCACAAATCCTGATTATAAAAGTAAACAACCTGCTAAATTAGGAGAAAAGGTCTTTGCTTCTAGTGGATTATTCTTGGAAATAATTTTCAGTTTTTCCGCTCTGAAGTAATGATTTCTGACAACTGGCATTTATAATGTCATAAACATAATATGACATTTATGCCTAAAATTAACTTACTCCTGTTGCTAAGGAGCAAGTATAAGAATCAGAAGCATTTTTATAATACTAAAACAAATATGCAGAATTTGGTGGTTTTGTTTGTTTTATTGTTGTTGAGACGGTCTCTTTATGTAATCCTGGCTATTCTAGAAATTGCTGTGTAAACCAAACTAGCCCCCAACCCCCAAACTCACAGAGATCCTCCTTGTTCTGCCTCCAGAGTGCTGGGCTTAAAAGTGTGCACCACCACCCCACCCTGCCCCCCTGCCAGAAAGGCATAAGTTTGAATGATTTCAAGTTGTTTTAAACTGTCCCAAAGTTTAACACTGCCCTCTAATGGGTTAAACAATGGTCTCCAAAGGGAGAGAACCAAAGTGGACAGATGTATAGTATTATTGCTTAATTATCCTACCAACTATAAAATTCTCAGTCTAACTATTTAGTTTTTGCTAACCACCAAACACTTGAAGAATTATTAGAAATTGGAAACGCTACTCTAGGGAACTAGTACTTTAAGCCCAGAATTACCATTTGCCTTAACAAAGGAACAGTATATTGACTTTATATTAGCTAATTGTAACGTTAGTTTTGACATTTGTTGTGGGTGAAGTTGTGACATGTTAACATCTTCCTGTGGAGATCTACAACTATCTCCAAAATGACCCCAACTTAGCCTGCCTACCTCTACAGGTGTGAGGATGCTGCCTCCTCCTCAGCTAACTTCCCTGTGATGCTCTTAAGATTCGTATGCTAAAAGAAAAAAGTCATGATTATTTCAAATAGAGGAATATTGCTTTTTAAAAATGTAGAAACACTATTTGAAAGTATAAGCCCCATCTTGAGTCTAAAAGGAAGATATTTGGCTATTTAATTTTTAATGGAGGATACTCTTAACTGATGAACCATCGCTCTAGCCTTGTTTTTACATTTTTTTTATTATGAGTTCGTTTTGTGTAAATCTCTTGTAGAACAGGCTGACCTCAAACTCAGAGATCCACCTGCCTCTGCCTCCTGAGTACTAGGATTAAAGGTGTGAGGCACCACCACCCAGCATTTTTACTTTTTAAATTTGGACTGAGTTTTTCTTTTTTAGGCAGGGTTTTCTTCTGTAGTTCAGGGTGGCTTCAAATTCCCAATACTATCTCAACTTCCCAAATCCTGGGATTGAAGCATCTACTTCAGCCACAGCAGTCAAATGTACCTTTCGTAAAGTGTGTATTTCAGTTGTTTTAAAAGTTCCTTTAGTTGTGCAGTTGTCACTTAGTTCTAGATATTTTTATATAGCCACATTCACTAAACACTGATTTCTTTTTTATGTGTATGTACATGTGGCATGTATGTGTGTATGTATGTGTAGGCACACCTATGTTGATGTCAGGAGTCTTTCTCATTTCCTGTAATTTTTTTAACTGAAGATCTCTTGCTGAACTTGGAGTCTGCCAGTTTGGCTAGTCTACCCCATTAATGGCACAACGATTCATGTTTTTAGATATACCACATTTGTAGTGAGTCTGTTCATAAACTAATGAACATTAATCTTATTACTTTTTGGCTATTAATAATGTTGCTGTGAACATTTCTGAGTTTTATGACTTAATGTTTCTTGAGTATCTAAATAGAAGTAAAATTGCTGGTGACGTAACTGTGTCTCACCTTTAGAGGAAGTGCTAAACTGTTTTCTGCAATGACTATACCATTTTTTTCCTGCCAGCAATGTATGTATAAAACTTATTTAAGCAAATAATGCATGAATTTGTTTGCAATAACACAGTATCATCGCAGAGCAGCCTCCAAACCCTTTGACCTACTCTATTCTAGTCAGCTTCTATACGTATGTAGAAGAAATAATTGTTTCCAGCTTAATATGTATTTTTCTGAAATGTTCAGTGTAAATGGTGGTGTGCTTCTGCAGTTCTAGCTGCTCCAGAGACTGGGAGAGTAGGATTTCTCAAGCCCAGAAGTTGGAGATGAGGCAGTAAAATGAGGCATAGTCTCAAGGGGGCGGGGGGAGGACGACTCTTGATACAGGTAGTAGCATTAATAGTTTCCCTATATTAATGCAACATTTCATAGAATCACAAGATGTTTATTATGTCCTGTAACTGCAGAATGTGTCACCATTAAGAAACTGTATTAGTAAAAATCTCATCAGACAGGCAGATTAAGCAGATGAGCTGCAAGTTTGTTTTCCTGGCTGGCAGATTAAGCAGATGAGCTGCAAGTTTGTTTTCCTGGCTGGGTGTGATAGTGTACACTAGTTATCCTAGTATCTGGAGACTGACTCAAAGGAAGCTGGAGATAAAGACCAGCCTGAACTACACAGTGAAACTCGGAGAAAACCAGGGACTGAGAAGGAAGCTTAATGGTAGGACATTGGTTTAGCATGCACAGTGTCCTGGATGAATTTGATCTCAACGCTGTATTTAAAAAGTTTAATGCCCTCTGTGTTACTTTGAAAATAGCAGATATTAGGCTTTTATCTAATGAAACAGTAGCCATAAACTAATATTTTCTTGACCTAGTGCTTGGCTGGCTGGTTATGAAGACCCTGTAGTGTCCAGAATTAATATGAGAATACAAGATCTTACAGGACTGGATGTTTCCACGGCAGAGGAATTACAGGTAAGCAACCGCAGTATCTTAAGTTATTCCCACTTCTCCAAGAGGTTCTTCCTTTTAGATTTCCTGGCATAGAACAGGCAGTGCTTGACTTGTGTAATACCTGAGGACTGTAAGTGACCCTGTAAGCCAAAGCTTTCAAAGAAGTTAATAATCTACTGCAGAAATTTAAAAAATACATATTACAAAACATAATGTTAAGCATACTGTTACCGTTTAAATTTTCAAATTATGTTATTTATACACATGTATATGCTGTGGTGGCAGGTACCTTTACCTGCTGAGCCATCCCACTAGTCCCTAATTTTTGTTAATTTCTAGGCCCTGTCTACTTGTTGAATGGCTAGGGCAAATTTTGGATTTTTAAAAAGTAGTCTTTAAATTGATGTATAATTTGTATGTTGTATGTTTTACCTTGGTTTAGGTATATTTACTTGTTATGAGAAGCTTTTTCTTTTGATAGCCGCTTTGGTTTATCCCCCGCCAGTCGCCTGGGCTCTGCCGCGCCAGCCTGGTTCTAGATCCGCATGAGTCCCAAATAAACACACAGGAGGCTATATTAATTATGAAGCTGTTGGCCTTGTTTGTCTCTTACTGGCTAGCTCTGCCTTAAGTAATTACCCAATAATTGTTAATCTAAGTATGTTTCTTACCGGAGAAGTTTCCGGGCTCCTACCCGGCGTTACATGTCGACTCTCTTGTGTTTCCCCTTCCCAGAATCCTCCTCGACTCCTAGTCCCTCCTATCTAGGTTTTCTAGTGGCCAGACAGTACTTTATTGACAAATGCACAGGCAAATAACAGGACTTCCCCAACATTTACTTAGTTGTGACTCACCTCCATGATTTAATTTCATATGTTTTCATCACCCTAGTGAGAAACTGTCCATACCCTGAGCAGTAACTTCCTATTCCCCTTCCCAAACCACTAGCTACTTTGTGCTTCTATGAATAGACTTATTCTGGATATTTTATTTATAGCAATTACTTAATATGTGGCTTTTATGACAGATTTCTTTCACTAAGCATGTGGCTAAGGTTTATGTATGTTGAAACATGTGTCCCTACTTTATTTCTTTTTACAGCATGATCCTTTTGTGGGGTCACCTTTTATCTGTCTGCTCACCAGTTTGTGGATATCTGGGTTACTTCTGCTTTTTTTGAAAGTGTGAATAATTCTGCATTCAAGTTTTTAATAGAGCCAAACATGGAAAATTCCCATGTGTGTTTTGTCAGTGTATGTACAAATGAGAGTGGACTCATGTGGTAGCCCTGCACTTAACATCTGAAGAGCTTTCAAGCTGTTTTCCAAAGCCTTTATGGTAGCAACCCGTGAAGGCCCCAAGCCCTTGGCCTCCCTAACACTTTCCTTTTCCATTGTTAGTGCAGCGTGCATAGTGAGTTTAAACTGCTGTTTCCTGGGTTCACTTGTACGTTCCTGATGAGTAATGATACTGAGCATTGTTCACAGGCTCATTGGTCATTTCTACTGTTAATTTGTGTTCTTTGTGTGTTCTAGATACTTGTCCCTTATCAGATAAATGACTTGTAGATATTAAATTCTGTTCTGTAACCCGTCTTCACTTTTTCAATGGTGTCCATTAACACAAGTTTTAATTTATGTGTGGCTCATGTACTTACATACTGATGAGGAAGCCAGAAGGTGTTGGGTGTCCTGCTCTCTCACTCTTGGCCTTACTCCCTTGAGACAAGGTCTCACTGAAGCTGAGCTCACTGATTAGGTTAGATTAGCTAACCAGTGATCCTCCTGTCCCTGCTACAAACCCCTACCTCACTTCCCAGTGCTGGGCTTAAATGTACACAGCTGTGCCCTGCTTTTACAAACATGGGTGCCGGGAACCTGTGGCATGGACTTAGACCAAATGCCTCCTTTGTTGGGGTGTCATGGTGACCATCTGAAGTATTAGGTCCTTACAGAGGAATATACAGTGGTGTGGCCTTCTTCCCTTTAAATAAAATAATAAAAGTTATGTAAAAGAAAATGTATTTGGGCTGGAGAGAAGACTGAGTGATTGAGTACTTGTTGCTCTTCCAGAGGATCAGAGTTCAGTTCCCAGCATCCACTTGTCAGCTCACAATCTCCTGTAACTTTATTTCCCGAGGACCTGATGCCACCTTCTTGCCTCCACAGGCTCCAGCACATGTGACACACATATAATCATAAAGATGAAGACGCTCTCTCTCTCTCTCTCACACACACACACACACACACAGTCTACCTTACCATGTAAGAGGTCAAAATGGGGCCTCTTAAGAATTTTGTGAATTTTAATCTTGTTTTTTTCCCTCCCTTCTCTTTGATACTATGGATTGGACTCAGAACCTTAGCCATGCTATGCAAACTCTGTGCACTTGAGTAGTAATATTAATAGTTCTTATTCATATTTCTTTCCTTCAGGTAGCAAATTATGGAGTTGGAGGACAGTATGAACCCCATTTTGACTTTGCACGGGTATGTGAAACTAACTAAATCCACTTAAATTTGGGTGCTCTGTGTTAAACGAGCATCACGAAGATGTGTCTTTAAGATAGGCAGACTTCATTGGGGAGTGGGGGTGCAACTGTGGTGAGGATTTCAGTGAGAGACGAGGCAGTGGCAGTACGTAGAAGATAACTGAGCAGTATGTGGCCGTCTCGCTGAAGCAAGGACAGGAGCCTGCTGAGAGATGAGAGGGTAGGGAGGTGAGCACGAACAGCTTTGTCATCAGGGCCCAGCTGAAGAGAGCTCAGAGGAACTTGGTTAAATGGGGTCAGGAAGAGTGCCTTGGATGATTCTGTCTTGAAAGTTTTTCCAGAAGATCCTGGAAAGCCGCTGCAGAAAACAAAAAAAAAGACACTTAGTTCAAAGCATTGGTGAGCCTGGAAGAACGAGAAGGTTCTTCACTCCCCACAGACACACTGAACAAAGACGCTTGGGGATGAGGCATGAAGGCAGCGCTGCTGTCAGCTAGAGCTCGGGGTTACAGCTCAGAGAGAGGGTTGCCATAACATCTGGTCAGATTACATCGCCAGTGCAGAAAAGAGGGACTTGAAATACCTGCTTTGGGAGGGGAGCTGTTCTGGGAGTTTTATTAAAGTGTAGATCTGGCCTCATGAGAAGGATTAAAGTCATTCAGTTTGGTATGTTCCTCAGTGTGGCAGAAGCAAGCTATATGCTCCTGCAAAAAAAAAAAAAAAATCAGTGGATAAGGTGCAGCTGAAGCAACAGGTGGACACACACTGAATCAAATCACTGTATATCATATGTGTGGTCCTTAAAAGATAGGGGCGGTTCTAAGTAGAAAAAAATACAACAGCTTTTAAAAACAATGAGAGATTAGTGAACTGAATTGGGCAATACATGTGAAACAGAACACATTTGACAAAGAGACACAAACTGGAGTCCAGGAGCTGAGCACACATGAGATTGTTAAAGTGTGTCATTATCAAATCTTCATTTAATCAAGTCTGACCATAAACACTGACACTTAAATACTATGCTGTGTGATTCCACAAACTCACCCCTATATCACTCTCCAGGACAGAAACAGTTCTGTCTGGAGCAGCTCTTTACTGGCTTATCTCAGGTCTCACTGAGCTTTTTCTGTGGAATCCTGCAAAAACAATGCCTTTGTCTTATTCCTGATACTGAAACATGTCAGGGCTTTTGGTGGTGTCAGGTTAAAACTCCACATTACAAAACGAAAACATACTATTTTGAGATAATCGTTGATTCCTAGGATGTAGGATATATGGGACACTTACATGTACCTTCCCCCCCCACCCCAAGGTTGATATCTTGTATATGTCTATAGCACAGCACCAAACCAGGAGCGCACCATTGGTGTGTTCCCAGCATGCACTATTGCTTTACCAATTCTGCTTATTTCTGCAGATGGCTCTGTACTCTGATACACGTGACTTTATGTAATTCCTGTCAAATGTTGGAGGTATATCACTGTGTGTCACAAGCCTCCCCTGCAGTACTGTTCTGTTATTACACTCGCCTTTCCTTCTCCCATCCTTAATTTCTGTATCACCATTACCTAGAACACACTATTGATTCATTCAGAAAGCAGATCTAGAGTTTGTTTTCTCCAATAATTTTGCCAAAAGTATCCAACGTGTGGGCAGTGTTGAGCAGTTGGGGCTAGTGTGGACACAGCACACTGACAGTATATTTGGGGTATATTCTTTAACTTCTATTGTGCCCTGGACTTACTCACATTATTGAGTTTGATATCATTATATTCACTGTTTTATCCTCAGAAAGACGAGCCAGATGCTTTCCAAGAGCTTGGGACAGGAAATAGAATTGCTACATGGCTGTTCTATGTAAGTTACAGTTAAATTTTTGCTTTAGCATTTGATTGTATGACTCATTGATTTTGATATGTGAAGTTGATTTGACTCTATTGACTACATAGTGAGTTCAAAGCCACCCTGGATCTCAAAATAGAAAAAGTGGTGGGGTGTGGCTCTATGATTTGTCTAACATGCAGGAAGACCTGGGTTTGATATCATAAGCCTGGCATGGGGTTACATACTTATAGTCCCAGTACTTGGAAGGCAGAAGGATCAGGTCATCTTGGGTGTATAATGAGTTTGAGGCTAACACTGACTGTGAGACCTTGTCTCAAAGGGGAAGGGGTGTTGTTTAAAAATCATTGCCTGGTGGTAGTGGTGGTTCTGTCTTTAATCCCAGCACTCGGAAGGCAGAGGCAGGCAGATCTCTGTGAGTTCAAGGTCAGCCTGGTCTACAGCGTGAGTTCCAGGACAGCCAGAGCTATTACACAGAGAACCTTGTCTCAAAACACAAAACCAACCAAGAAATTATTGATAGTCCAAATTCTAAAATACTGAACATCTCCAAGCACTAGGACTGTTTACATATGTGCACTATCTACATATGCACACATTATAAATGTGTAGCTTTACAGTTTTTCATAAACTAAACATGTCTGGTAATTAGCACCCAGACTAGTACATAGCACAGAACCGTAGCTATATTCATGGTTAAAGTTTCAAAACAGCAAAAATTACATTTGTTAGAATTGTGTGTGTATAATGAGGATTAAACTCAGGGCCTAAAATATGCTAAGCAAACACATGCCCAATTCCAAGATTAATATTTGTTCCACTTTGTCAAACTTTTCTGTTATATGACAGATCACCCCCAAATAATTTTTCCTTGGGGGGAGGTGTCAAACCTCATGGTCTCATGCATGTTCTAAATGGATTTAAATAATAGTCATTCTATATTTCCTTCTATAGTAGAGATGTTAATTGGGTTTATAAACCCAAGGTATCTGTTCAGATCTCTCAATATAGTTGTATTCATTTGTCCAGCACTTGGATCTTGTGGAAGGCTTAGGCAGATGGCTCTCTGTTGGCCATCATACTTAACAGTTCTAGTCATCCATGTGGTCTGGGCATCCTCACACTTGGAGAGTAGCCATCCTCCCAAAAAGAAAATTTTACATGGACACGACATTTTTATAGCCTGTCTTTAGAAGTCACATAGTGTCCTTTCTCTGTTTTTAAATCGCTCCTGCTAGGGAAGCACTCTACCTCTGAACTATAGCCTCAGTTCTGCCCAGCTTCGAGGTGAGGGAACATTGGCTTGCACCACTTGAAATGAATTCCAGACTCATGTAAATAGAGCCGGTAGTGACTGAAGCTGTAGCTCAGAATCCTGGGCTGAATCTTGAACACTGCGGGCACAGAGTGAAAAAAACAAACCCCCATTAGGATTATATAGTTGGGATGTTATTACATTTGGTTATACAATTCGGTAGTGGTGTAACTCTTATTTTTAAAATATGTGGCTTAACAGGGCATGGTAGCACAGTGTTTTTAAGTCACTTATTGTAGAGGTGACATTATGATACAGTATATAGTTGGGCTTTGTTTGCTATTTTCTGCTTCTTCTCACACTATGATGGATTTCCTTGGTACATGTGCTATTTCAGTTAATTAAGGCCTGTGTTTTTATTCTAGGTTACCTTTATGATAACCTTATATAATTTTTTTATCTTCTGATTTTTCATTTAAATTTTATCTGAGGATAAATTTTTCTCTTGTAGATGAGTGATGTGTCTGCCGGAGGAGCTACTGTTTTTCCTGAAGTAGGAGCCAGTGTTTGGCCCAAAAAAGTAAGCTCACTTTGTTTGTGGGGCTTGGTTTTGTTGGATCTTTTTCTCCTAAAGTAGAGCTGTACCTGTAGTTTGTGGTCCAGGGAATGAGTTACATTTTCGACAGTGGTGAGCTGCCATGTAGGTGCTGGGAATGGAACCTGGGTCCTGTGGACCATCTCTCCAGCCCCAAGTTACATTTCAGACTACATTCATCTTCAAGTAAAGGACGGGGTAAGGAACAAAGGTGATAGTTAAGTTCTAATTTCCAAGATTTGATTTTCATATAATTCTCTACGAATTGCTGAACTATTCTCTAAAACGCTCTTGTCAACCACCTTTATGGTATTAACTCCATCTGATCAAGAAAACATTTCAAAGTGAAAGACTCACAGAATTAGAGAACACTCTAAGCTCCTGTAGAAGGAACAGGAAAATGTAAGTGCTGTGAAAAGTGAAAACCTAACATTTTATTTGGTGGTAATTTTGCATTGTTCTCCACAGGGCACTGCTGTCTTCTGGTACAATCTGTTTGCCAGTGGAGAAGGAGATTACAGTACACGGCATGCAGCCTGTCCCGTGCTCGTTGGAAACAAATGGGGTAAATGGTTCCCGTATTCGCTGAAAACGGAGTTCTTTATTTCACTGTCAAATTTTATAACCTGTGCCTTAAGACAAAATGCCTCCTCCTGTGACTTGCTGTATGGCTTCACGTTGTATGGGACCAATCCCTGATCTGAGTATAGATGTTTATCCCATAGATGAGCATTTTTGTGAGATTGTTTTTGAGGGTAGGTGCTCCATTTCACCTGACTTTCCAAGAAGCATTAGATTAGTTGACTTCCAGGTTGAAAAGTTAGAATCTTGCCCTGGCACTGACGGGTAAGTCAGAATGTGGCACAGTGTAGACTAATGACCGAGACGGAAGAGCAGAGGATGTTATTTCCTGAGCCGGAGTCTCAGTTTTGTTTCCTCAGCTCACAGCAGTTCCTTTTTAGGCATGTTATATGTCAGGCTGGATTGGTCTAAGGACAGAACAGCACCTGGCTGTGGTGCAGTATTTAAGAGGCCCTCCTTTCAGACAATGCAGGTGTAGGATTGCCCCCATTAACAACTAAAGTAGGAAAGAAACAGGTTTAATATATATCAATCCAGTATGTCAGTGGCTACCTTTCTCTCTCTCTCCCTCCTTCCCTTTTTTTTTTTTTTCTGATTTTTCAAGACAGGGTTTGTGTAGCTTTGGAGCCTATCCTGGAACTAACTCTGTAGACGAGGCTGACCTAAAACTCACAGAGATCCGCCTGCCTCTGCCTCCCAAGTGCTGGGATTAAAGGAATGTACCACCACTGCTTGGCCAGTGGCCACATTTCAAATGCTCCCAATCTACATGTGTCTAGTGGTTATAACATAACCTCTGCAAAGAGGCCTGCTCAGCAAAACCTTACAATCCCCTCTCTAATAGTGATGCTTGTGAACTGTTGGACCACAGTGAGCACTGGCTGACTGGGAAGAGAACAGCTTTAAAGCTCTTCTCCATTGTGGGAGTGGTCTAAGCACTAAGAAAACATGGCCAGTTGATAAATAAAGTAACAAGTGTAGGTCACTTAGTTCAGATAGTGTACGAGCCTGTAACATTAGCTTATTCTACAACACCAGAAATGTGATAGAAAATAAATTTGGGGAAGGGGAATCCTTAAATTGTGTATATTATGGATGTAGTGGTACGGTGTTTAATCCCAGCACTCAGGATGCAAATTCAGGCAGATTTTTGAGTTCAAGCCTGGTCTACGGAGGGAATTCCAGGACAGTCAGGACTACACAGAACAATCCATCTCGAAAACAAAACATTTTGGAACCAAGACAACTGTATGAGTATGAGGTGGCAACCACTGATGAGGGAATTGTGTTCGCTTTACTATCTTTGGATTTTGATTTTGGAGGTAGTACTTGGAAGCTGTGGGAATGCTCGTTCCATCTGTAGCTCACTTTAAGCCGCATTAGATACACATACATGAGATCTGATGCTTATTCAGCGTCTACTTTAGGTTTTAATGCATGTTGAAACTGTTACAGACGAGCTTTTAGATGGAGAGAGAAGATGATTCTTACTGTTTTTGTCTCACAGTATCCAACAAATGGCTGCATGAACGTGGACAAGAATTTCGAAGGCCGTGCACCCTGTCAGAATTGGAATGACAGACAAGCTCCCCTCGCTCCTGCTGTCCTAATGCACCTGGCACAATTTCTGAGTGTAACTTTCAGAAGTTTACAGCTGACTAACACTCCATGATTAATTCGGTCATGAACCTCATCCCATGTTTTGTCTGTGGACAATCACTTATTTTGTGGGTTTTTTGTTTTTTAATTAACAATCACCACATTATGTAAAATTTTACAGTTTGGTTGTTATCACAGGATACAGGACATTTAAAATGAGGAATCCTAATTTTGTTGTTTAAAAGAACTTTGTTAGATTAAAAAAAAAACCAAGAGGACCAGTTGTAGATTTTGCCACATCTCAGTAGATAGATGGTGGGCCAAGCGAGGCTGTGCATGGTGCAGACGCCTGTCCACCTGCTCTCCCTTTGCTGGGTTGCTGAGACAAACTAGGACCCTAGTCTGGATTTAAGGGGATTGCCTCCATCTATTATTCCATGCTCATATTTCTTTTTACAGAAACTATTTTTACCAAATCCCCCTCCTTACCACTGGTGAATTCAACCAGTTTGAGAAAATTACTTTGTTCAAAAAAGTCCTGCATAGCGGAACTGACCCTCACAGCTAAGATGCTCAGACTTAGACGTCTTCTTCAATGACTGATCATGTTCAGAGACTTGCTGTTCCAAGTGCCAATACCCTGCCTTGTGTGCCTACACAGCAGGTGGCGGTGTTAGCATTAAACACTGTGCCTTAGGAGACTGGGAGTTAAAATGTGCAGGTCCTTGTAATGACGAGTGAGGGAGTTGATTTTTAAAAACAAATCTCTTTTATAAAAAGCCAAAATGGTTTTTCTTTTTAATCCTGAAACGTGTTATAACAGTGACCTATTTATGATCTTAAATCTTTTTTAAAAAATGTTTCTGTGTGGTATTTTCATGTTTAAATTCAAATATAAAATAACAGTGCTCACAGGTTAATATACATTACTCCTTTACTACATAGAGCTTAGGTTTAGTGTTTGTGCTTAGACATTTAGTCAGTCAAAATATGTTTCCTTGGGGTATAGCTTGCCTGGCCCACTCCAGACTATGAGACACTAGCAGAAAGTCTCCTTTCTTCAGAGACAGTCATGTGTGACTATTAGTCTTATAATAATAACTACTATGCTTTCTTTTATTCAAAAGCCTGGTTGTAGTCTTGGTGCCTCTGAAGGAATTCTTCATTCACACAGGGCTCTGGCTCTTTTTAATTCTCTGGGAAATTAAATGTAGGTATTAAAATCAACTATTCCATCACAAAGATTTTATCAAAAAAGTAAGTTCAGCACTGATTTTGCAGCCAAAGATACTTTCAAACAAACAAACAGGCTGGGCATGGTGGCCCACATCTTTGGTCCCAGTACTTGGAAGGCAGAGGCAAAAGGATCTCTGAGTTCAAAGACAGCCTGGTCTACATAGTAAGTTCTAGGTCAGCCAGGGTTATATAGGGAGATCTTGTTTCAAAAACAGACAAGCAAAACAACTTTTTAGGCTGGTGGTGTAGCTCAGACATGGAGCAACATGTGTGAGCACTGGGGTTTCATTCCACTACTAAAGCCCCACCCCCACACCAATTAAAGGAACAACAATTCTACAGGTAAAATGGGGATTTCAAGGCCAGAAGATGGTTTTGTCACAATGTGCTAGCAACTAGATTATAAATTAGGAAGATAACAATATATAAATTTACAAGGAAATTATATGTCTTCTATAAGAACTTAATATAAGATACATACCAGCCTGCCTCTGCTTCCTGAGACGTTCTGATAGAGCACCTGGCAGTTAGAGAAAGGCGCCTTTGGCATGAGTGCAGTTTGCAGTATCAGGTGATTTTGTATAAGGGCCGGTCTCCAGCCAGAAATCACAGGGTTTATGAGGAAAAGGCGGCAAGTTGTTGAAACCAGGAGTGACCTGTAAGTAGGTGAGGAGACACTCGACCTCATCAATCTTTTAAGGAAGTTAACAGGATTCCTATCAGGAAAATAGTGTGTGTTGGCTAGGTGAAAACCGTTTTTATGCAAACGTTCTTCAAAACTTGATTTCCTATCAGAAGTTAACATCCAAAAATTCTGTTTCTGGGTATGAAATGAAGGCAAAGAGTTGAAATGTTTACACCCAGGCTCATAACAGGATTATTTGTAATCACTATAAAGTGAAAGCAACCTAAGTACAGAAACACAGTGGGGAAAAGGTGTCATATACGTTAAGCCAAAAATGAAATTCCAACCCATGCTTAACATGGATGAAGTCACACAAATACTCTTACACACTTACACTAGACACCAAGAGTGGTCAAATGCAAAGGAAATAGATGGTTGCCTGGGGGTTAGTATTTTAATGGGTATGTTGCATAGCAATGTGATACACTTAATGTGCTCTAAATACATTCTTTGACTTCAGACTTATTTCATATGTATGATAGTTTTGTTTGCATGTATGTCTGGGCACCACATGTGAGCTTAGTGCCCTTGGAGATCAGAAGGAGCCATCAGACCCCCTAGAACCAATTATGGCTGGTTGGTAACCATCATGTAGGTGCTGGGATTGAACTCTGGTCCTGTGTAAGAGCAACAAGTGCTCTTAAACCTGTGAGCCATGGTGTGTCTCCAGTGCCTAAATACACACAAAAATAAACATGCTGGAGGTGTAGCTCAGTGGTTGAGCATGCCCGAAGTCCTGGGTTCAATTCTCAGTCCTCTCTGTAAAGGGGGAAAAAAAGCCAATATCGGCCTTAAATGTTTGGCAACTTGAACAATTTCATTCTGATTCTATAAGCCCTCCAGATTAAAAGCAAGGGCACTTGTACATACATGCTTCTGTTTATTGGCCAAAGGTGGAAGCAACCTCTTGGAGTATACCTCTGCAATTGAATGATTAGCAAAGGTAAAAAATAGAGGTGCTTTTAAAAATTAATCTGGAATCATAGAACTCAAGAGAACTGACAAACACTGAACACTGAAAATTAGTAGAATTCCAAAACAAGACATAAGAGATTAGAAGCTGGCCTCGAACTCAAAGAGATCCACCTGCCTCTGCCTCCTGAGTGCAGGGATTAAAGGCTGCACACCCTTTAGTTCCAACACTCATACAGCCAGTTTACACAGTGAGACAACTTCAAGTAAATGATTCAAGACAACTTCAAAGAAATATTTAATGCTACACATGGTTTAGAAACAGATACTATATATCTGGGTACCGGCACAATGACCAACATGAATACACCTCTAAATTTAGCAGATCTTAAAGAGAATGAAAATGGTCATTTAAGCAAACTTCATGACTTAAGAGAGAAAATCAGATTATAAGGCATTGGCAACACCACCTGCATAGATGGGAATATATTTAGTACGGGCTGGGGTGATGACTCAAGACTGGAGTTTGGAGCCCCAGAACTCACATAATGTCAGGTGGGCACGGCAGATGTCTTCTAAGATGGAAATGGAATCCCCAGGACAATCCAGCAATCAGAATTGCTGAGTTCCAGGTCCTGGTCATAACATCAAGCCATCTGGGAACACACCTAATACCAGTTGACACAGTTTCTGCCCCCACATGCACATTCCTAGGCACCTGAACTGTTACATACATGTAAGTGCATGAACAACACAAAAGTTTCTATGTCTGCTCAGTACATAGACAAATCTGTCAACATAGGAAATTAGACATGGCAAGTCCTTTTTCTGAGGAATCTACTAGAAGACAGCTGTGACCTCTAGAATAGAAGTTAAGGACAATGAATATGCTATCAAATCTTTGGGATACATCACAAAGGATTGTATCAGTGTTTGGTGATTTGGGGGGTGTGATACATTTCTAGACGGTTTCTCTGTAATCTTAGCTGTCCTGGAACTCACTTTGTAGACCAGACTGGCATGCCTCTGCCTCCCTAATGCTGGGATTAAAGGTGTACGCCACCAAAGAATGTTTTTCATCATAAAGTTCAGGCCAGCCTTACACTCATGAAACCCACCAGGCAACGGTGTGTACGCCTTTAACCCCAGCACTTGGGAGACAGAGTCAGGTGTATCTCTGAGTTCGAGGCTAACCTAGTCTACAGAGTGAGTTCCACGATAACCAGTACTGTTATACAGAGAAACCCTGTCTCAAACCCTCCACACACCAAGAAAGAAACACTGTCTCTGATCTCTAACTAGACTAAGTCTAAGGATCAGTATCTCTCAGAACATAGATACAAGATACTCTTACGTCTAACCAACAATAAGTGGAAAATGTGTGTGTAACTGAAAAACCTTACTGAAATATGTTTAAAAATACAACAAGTTCAACAATTAAATCACAAAGTTGGGGCCAGCAGGTTGACTCTGGGGGTAAAGGCACTTGTTGCTAAGCCTACTATTGGGGTTCAGTCCCAGGAGTTCACAGGGTAGGAAAGAACTGGCTCCCACAATTTATTTTCTGACTTCATACACATGCTATGGAGCACACGTATCCTCTTACACACAGATAAATGTAATTTAAAAAATGGCAAAGTCATGTTCACCTCAAAAACCTAAGATTGGTGCAAAGGTCCAAATTCCACCTGGGTAATCCATTGTATTAGCATGTTAAAGGAGGAAGAAGTCTTTTCAAAAGATGCAGAGAACACATATGACAAATTTCAGTATTGCTGAAGAATTTTTAAGTGAGCCAGGTGTGATAATATGTGTCCGTGATCCTTGGCTCAGGTAGGAAGGTTGCCCTAAGTTCAAGGTCAGCCTGTGCTCTATAGCAAGTTTCAGAACAGCCAGACCCTTCCTCAGCTAAAACACAAATATCCAGAGCAGATTAGTGGCTTTTCAGAAATCTGGCTCTGCCTCCTTTTGCAGTAGAAGACTGGATGCTGCTCGCAGTGCTGCAAAGTATCTGTGTTTCCCAGGGGCATTTAGCATTGTGCTGGAGGTGCCAGGCAGTAAGAAAGGGGAGAGGCACACAGTGGGAAGGAAATAGCTCTCTCCATCAGGGCTGAGGTTTGTAAACCCCCCAGAGGGATCTGCAGCACTCTCCTGCAGATCCAAGGAAGCGGGCAGCACAAACTCTCCATACAGAAATAACCAACTGAATTTTTAAAGACAATGCATGATGGCCTCAAAAAATGGACTTCCAATTCAAAGTTGCAAAATGCAAATGAGAGCTGTATGCTTAAAAATAACAATGGCTGAGAAATGTTAGAGCAGTGTATGTAGACAAGAAAGGTCCATTTCTTTTGAGATGAGAAAATGCCTTATGTCCTGGTGGTACTAAAGGATCCGCATCTGTCAACATTTTATAGTGTATTCTGGATGTGTGTATTTCCTTCTGTGTAAGGTTTGTGTGCACTCCTGCATGTCCTGCATTACCACATCAAACCAATAAAGCAATCAAAAACAGTTGTAAACAGCTAGGCAGTTCAAGACAAATAAAAAATGTCAGAAACAACCAGGCATGCCTTTAGTCCCAGCACTGGAGGCAGAGGCAGGCAGATCTTTCTGAATTCAAGACTAGCCTGGTCTACGTAGTGAGTTACAGGACAGCCAGAGAGAAAGAAAGAGGGGGGGGGGGGGAACAAGTATTGTTTGTTCCTTGACTCGGTAATGATGGTTAAAATGTTAAATATTTTAAATATAAATATTTGTTAATAAAATCCCTATTAAACAGATGATATGGTTAGGTAAAGGTATTTTTTTCTCCAAGAAAAAAAAGCTTTAGAACTAGGTAGGAACCATCTGTTTGTCTCGAAGAAAACAAAACTAAAGCCCTACAAATTTAACTTAAAAATCTCAAGTTGCTTTGTAGTGGAGGAACTTGAATTCCTGATCCTGTCTTTCTCTCCCAAGTCCTGGGATTACAGTCCTGCACCACTACCCAATGGGAAGGGAACCTGCTGTAAATCTCTGACAAGTTTCACATTAGGCTGTGAAGCTAACTTTGAACTATTCTACTTAATCCCAGGAGTAGGGTCAGGACTTATGTTAGCACTCCTACTTGGAATGGTTCTGGGTTTTGATTTGGTTTTCCCTGTCCACTGTGGATTAAATCCAGGACCTCCGACATGTCCAACAGTCAACCACATCACAATCATCAAAAACGGTTCTGGAGGTGGATCCCAAGTGTCAAAGGGAACATAATGCCTAGGGCTCCTTCACTCTCTGGTTCTTTTCCAACAGGATTGTAGGAGTTGGCCTAGATTTCACCACAGACACCCCTACGGGAAGGAACCGTACATGGCTTCTGATCTTTTGGGTGGCATGTAGATCTTCCAGGGCTTCTGCAGCCAGCCAATTTGTGGCATTGCCCTTAGGCTGGTAAATACCAAGTGGCAGTAGTGTCAGGTTGGACATTTTACTTGCTATGCTGTGTCCACAGCTCAACACATGCATGGGTTTTATGAGCTAACCAGGGGTTTTTATGTTCTGAGGCAGGTTCTTATTTATCCCGGGCCGTCTTTGAACTTGTTATGTTGTAGGGAATGACCTTGAATTTGTGATCCTCTGGCCACTACCTCCCAAGTGCTGCAGTTATGGATGTTTGCTACTGTGCCTGGTTTTGTGGTGCCATTGTCTAGTCCATGCTAGGCAGTATCTCTGAAAATTAAGCTACATCCCCAATCAAAGACATAATCATTTTAAAAACACTTATTTAAAATTTTTTTCTTGCCAGGTGTAGGTGGTGCATGCCTTTAATCCTAGCACTCGGGAGGCAGAGGCAGGCAGATCTCTGAGTTCAAAGCCAGCCTGGTCTACAGATCGAGTTCCAGGACAGCCTCCAAAACAATACAGAGAAACCCTGTCTCGAAAAACCAAAAAAAAAAAATTTCTTTTAATTGATCTCTATCTTTTATTTTTTTAGGTATAGGGATGAGGTTTGTGAATTTTGATGCAGTACCTAGGATGGCCAGAAGAGGGAATCAGAGTCTCGGGAACTGGAGTTACAGATGATTGTGAGCAGCCCAAAGTGGGTGCCTGGAACTGAACTCTGGCCCTCTTGGAAGAGTAGCAAGTGCTCTTAACTGCTCACATCATTTCTGGTGTTGACACAAAGCTCTCAGGTTAACACAGGTTAACGGGCTTCTTGAGAGTCTCCACCCCCGTACAATGCTGAATCTTGTTATGCGGCGAGATGGGGAGACAAGATTGGGAAGGTGACAGTCTGCCTTACAAGGGAGGTCGGAAGGAAATGAAGAGCAACGCTAGAAGGGGCAGGTTGTTGGGAGGATTGGGGGGGGGGGTCTCAGTTTGAATTTCCCAGTAGCAGCACTTCCTAAAGCAAGGGTAGGGAGGGGTGAGGGTGTGCCAAGTGGGTTCTTTGCGAGGTACCTGAGAGAGAAAAAACCAAAATGGTGGGCTACTAATACAGGCCCGACAGGAAACTTTTGGTTGCACCCTAAAAATCCAGGACGAAGGACCAGGAGATTTGTACCCTATCTCCC